ATAAAGAAAAGACAAACTTCATCCACAATCCACTTTCCTACTGTCACTTTAAAAGGAAATACAAAAGGCCTCTGAATTCAGGGTTTCTAATGTTTTTACCTTTTTCAACAGTTCCCCGTTGGCGAACTTTGTATCTGCAGAGCTCTCCTTCTAGAACAGCCCCCTTCCTGGCTCCTCTGCCCTCTCCCTGGGGCACCCTCAGCGCCAGGAGCCTACCTGCAGAGCAGCGGCGATGCACAGCAGATAACAGACAGTGGGACGGTAGGTTGTACCTGAATCCAGAAACCCGTCCTTTCTGACCTCAGAGTAGAAAATCCCCTTATGGCACTCGTGATGAGAAAAGCCCTAATGCGGGTTACAACTAAGAAAGAAAGAAGTGACGAGGGGACTTCGTTCTCCTGGCCACTGGATCCAGTGGGTGCAGAAGGCTGAACCCCTGTCCAAACAGCGAGCAGTGGCCGTGTGCTCAGGGAGGGGCACTTTCTAGTTCACATGCACTTCCCGGGATTCTTGCCTGTTTCTGTCCTATTGTCTACGGCTATGTGCAGTTATACCCGAGTGTCTTCTACTATTTGAAATAAACAAGAGTTGGAATAATTATTTTCAGAGAGAACCAATGGTTACTTTCACTGATTTATTCTGATGAAAGCTAGTCTAAGGCATTGAATAGGGTTTTGCTTGCTTTAGAAAGTGCCATGAAATTTTCCAGGGGTACACTGGTCCCTCTGTTTCCTAGTAGGGCATCCAAATGCCCCACCCTGATTTAGTCCTTGAAGTCTAGGAACTAAGCCCTAACACAGAGTTCAGAGCGCCGAAACCCTGGGCACATCTCATGTCGGTGGCGCAGAGCGAGCGCCACGGTGCACTGCGAAAGGAGCACTGGCCGGTCCCTCGTAGGGAGGGACTGTGGCCACTGCAGCTCCTGCTGTGTGGCCTGCTCGGCCTGTGGTCGCACGTCAGGAAGGGGCACATGTAGGACCACCCACGTTAGAGACGGACGGCAGCAGCCGTCTTCTCCGGAGGCAGCTGACACTCTACAGATTGAAAATAACAACAGAGAATTCTCCAAGGGCGGAGAAGACTTGGAAGCTGCAGTTCCTGACTGACAAACTGGGGAAAAGCCGGACATCTGATGACAACTCTGAGGGGAAGGGGCCATCCTTTTGCGTGTACAACTTGCAATAATGCACCGGAAGCTGGGTGGACACTTGTTAGCTGCGGTAATGGAATGCTCCCGCGTGAAACAGTGACAGAGCTGAGTGCACCGGGCAGCTCCTCTATCAGATTTCTGTCTGTGATGACGGAGGCGGCAGCACGGCAACTCTGTTCCTCCCCCCAACCCCCCTTTGGAGTTGCCTCTTGTCTTTTTCCTTCCCTAGAGGCAAAAAGATTAATCACACCAAGGAACTGTGAATATGAAATGAGCTTTAAGGAATAAAAAGGAAAAAAATCCAGTGGTTTACTAGATCATATCTACTTACCTATGTACCTACCCACAAAACACACTCACCCATCCCTCCATTATAGCTCAAGGTTTTCTTCCCTTTAAAAACACCACTAACCTGTAAACAATAACTCCAGGCTGTGCTCCCAGAACACAAGCCTTGCTGGACCCCTCCCTCTCCTGTATAAGTGCTCACCGCGCTTCCCCCGGGCATTGCTATTGCTAAGCAGTGCTAGGAAGCGATGGATGATACCTGGGATGGAAGGCAAACAGAAGGGGGACTTAGAGAACCAATCCCCAAAGGGGAGCTGCAACTCTGCCTTCATGTAGGTTTGCCGTATGAGATCAAAGAGACCCTTGATATACAGTGGTTATTAGTATGTAACCGCTGACCGCCCCCACAACACTGAACACTGGGAATGTGAAAGAAGCCAGAGTAAAAATGTTTGTAGAAAACTGGACTACCAGGATATATATGAAGAGCTAGCTGATCTGAAGTTCTGTCCTTTAAAAACTTTAAGAAAAAAGTTACTCATACGATTGGCACAGAACCCTTTGTGGTCCTTACTCTCCAAGGCCACAACAGCTTCCAAGAAAAAGCACAGGTCACTAGCTGACAATGGCACTAACTTTCCTTAATGTCCAAGGCCATCACCCCAATGCTCAGATCATTAGAGGGGCATTCAGAAATGGTTATATCCACCAAGAGGAAAAAAATGATGCAAGCGAAACTTCAGTTCATTTCTCTCTCCTTATCGTAAAACTGATCAGCAAGTTTGACATACAAATCATTAAGGAGAATGGAGACGCCGAGGGCAACGGAGTTGGGCAGAAAGAGCCAGACAGAGATTCTTCAGTGAGGAAAATAGATTCTTGTGTCAGCAGTTTGCCGTTTAGATGAGTGAGGCCATTCTGCTCCTGGGGCACCTTATCACCATGGTAACCAAGCACAGAACCCATTAGGTCCACACCATCTTAGCAACAAATCTATAGCTCTCACTGAAGGGCTATGGACAGAAGGCAAGTCTTCCAAAGTCCTTCTGTACCTGGGAGTCTGAACTGACCTCCAGGCCAATCTGACGGCCTGGATTCTCAGACACTGAGTGTTTCTCACCAATATTCAGGAACAGACCAACCCAGCATTGGAATTACCTTCCTGAAGCCAAGCTGCCTCGGGGTAGAGGTCTCGTGGAGCCACCACCAAGGACACAACACCCTCCTGGGGCTGGGGGCTTCTTGGAAGGATTCCGAGGTAGCCATGGTGAGAGCAGGGACTCGGAATCCTGGGAAATCCTAGGAACAGAGGCTTTACTCCCCTGCTTTTGGGGGAGCAATGCTGACGCTTCCTCAGAGACACTGCTTTTTAAGTTGTCAAGGAAGGTTCTGGAGTCTCTTATAGTCATTCATCCCAATGATTTATCATCATTAAAATTCTATTTTTGAATCTAAATTCCACCTGCTGAAAAGCACAGCTACTTTAATTTTTAGAAACACTTCTGAAAAAAGAACACCGACAGCAGAGATATTTCAAACAAGGAAAATGACCAGCCACAGTCTTGCCATCATACGATAATCTCTCTTTCCATTTTGAAGCATTTTCTAGACTTTCTTAATCCAGAGAAAGTTTGCCTTAGCTACCACGATGACACTAAAAAATCTGTATTTTCATAGGATATAGACATATTTTCATATTTCTTCAGTCCCCACAGTTACTGCTTTGACTGATGACTTCCCTACTGCCGACCACCAGAGGGGCTGGGCCAGGTAAGTGGTCGGCACTCCATCCGGGTCTGGCGGAGAAGACGTGGGAGAGGCCTGCCTGCCAGTCTTCACAGAAACCTCGGGGAGGGTCTACAGCACTTACTGTTACCCAGAGGCCCACCGCCTCCGCCTTCTTCCCTTCTCCAACCTGCAGACTCCCCAGGAGTGTTACATCGCTTCATTTTATAAAGTAATTTGATACCCTACAAACGTCGCTTGCATCCCTCCCAGGAGCCTGCGTGCTTTCCTAAGGTCGGAAACTTGACCATTGTGTGTGTGTTCCCGTGCGGCAGCAGCGACCAGCCGCCACACAATAAAAAGCAAAGCACCGTTCTTTCACAGTCTATCCAGACGCAGAGAAGGTTTTGGCATTGATTGTTAACTGACCTGGAACTGCAGGGGACTTCCTGTTTTATTTGGGAACAAGGGTGTTTGGATTTAAGAAACATTAGTCACATTCTGCCAGGTGCGGCTCTGAGTCTGATGGGGCAGCAAATGGTCTCTGAGAGTTGAGGAGGAGGCGAGTGTTCCGTGAGAGCGAGAGGCCAGGCAGATTTTCCATGCAAATGCCCGCAAAACTCGAGCCCAAACAATGGCATCCAGTATGCTCCCAACTGACTTTTGAACGTGGGCCAGTACTGCCCGAGTTCTCCAGCACTTGCTAATCAAATCAACCAGGCCAGAAGGGAGAAGGGAGTCCACCTGGGCCTTCCTCAGATGGCCAACCGCTGCATTTAGATGTGCAGCCAAGAAACCTACAGCTCGGGCAACACACAGCCTTCCAAACTCCATTCTGGTCTGAATCAGAATGGGACACCTGAAACCAAAAAAGCCCAACCACAGACGCGCTCTGGCTGCATCTGTGCGTGGGTTTGGCATCTTGCAGCAGTAGCGGCCGCCGCCCAGCTGTTCCCTCACTACACATGTTTTCCCTCGTAAAACTTCCAGCAGGCTGGCAGGCTTCGCGCTCCTCACTTAGCTTTGTTTGTGTTTTCGATGAATCAATGGGATATGGAGACTAATCAAGATGTTTAGAAAAATAAAGAGAGAAAAAAGAGAACAGCTTGTGATGCTGGCTGTTCCTGAAAGCTGGGTGAGAAAAGCTCTGCCCACGGCGGGGGGGGGGGGGGCGGCAGGACACGGAAGGGGGTCTAGGAGCGTGGGCACGTGAGCCAGCCCGGCTGGCTGCACCCAAGTGCTGCAGTTGGGGGCCCTACAGCGCCAGTGCCACCCAAGGGCCTTGCAGTTCCCAGGTGCTGTCTCTGCCCGCGTGCCACGGCCTCCATCAGCTGCTCCTAGGCTGGACCCCCAGGCTCAGCCCCACTCTGAGTATCCCTGACTCTCTATCCATTCAGTTACTGAGCTATGTATGGCTCCACCTGCCTCCATTTCCCTCTTCCTTGAAGGTGGCCCAGGATCTTCCAGAGGAACTCGGCTGCCCCTTCCTGACCATGCCTTGTGCCCTCCTACTAATGGAAGCCCCAGCACAGAATCCACCCCTGACTCGAACCATAGCCCTCAGACCCGAATACAGGGCTTCACATCTAGAGGCTGACAGACTGATGCACGAACGTAGTGAGGAGCAAGACAACACTGGAGGAACTCTGCACTCAGCTGTCCACCTCTCTCCCCATCAGAAACTACAACCACAAGGAAAGCAGTTTGCCAACAGGACAGCATGTTTTCAGCTCCCTGGTCCAGAATGAGGGATCCTTTGACTCTCTCCACTGTACCCCAGAGGACAGGGAAACATACGGGGCATTTCATTAAAAAACAACAGGAACCGGCTAGTTACCTGAGCTCACACAGCCCTGCTGCAGGGGGTCCTGTAGTGACGTCACCGAATGGAGGACTAAATAAGAAAAAGAAGTACAATTAAATCAGAAAAAAAGCCCCCAAGAGTTTAAAGCTTCCTAATGCACTGAGTGTAGTGAGGGGGGATAGTGTAAGGTCCCAAAGGCCTAAGGGAGGATTCCCCCCTTGTAATGGGGAGGGGCCAGAACACGGGGCCCACATGGGCAGGCAAAGTGCTGCTGGTAGGAGGTAGGACCCTGGCTGGGGAATGGGTGGAAGCTGGCATGTCTCACCTCTGTGCCTTGGCTGATTTTCTTTCCTGATTCCCTGATTTAGCTACTTGACTTTAACCTATATTTATGTATAAACAGTGTTTTCTTAATTGGTAACTCATTTTCTGTTGCTTATAAAATTAGCTAGGCATAATCTTCTCACTCCTAAAAACTAAAGGTAGCCCCATGGCAACAAGTGGTGGAGAAGGAGGGACGGTTCTCTGCGTCCAGTGCTGTGTGGCCGCCCACCTCCCTGCAGATGCCCCTCCTCTGTCCCTGCAGCAGCCTGGGGCTGCCCTCACCTGGACCCTGCTGCTGCCCTTGGACCGGCAGGACGCCCTGGCCCAGCTCGCCATTCAGCCAGAGCTGCATCCGGATGAAGGGTTCGCGGCCTTTCTGTGTCAGCTTGCTCCATGGCTTCGGCCGAGACAGCATGTCACTGACACTGCCCTGGGACAGGCCCAGCACCTGGAGGGGCAGACAAAGACCCCTGCATCAGCACCCAGGGTTGAGTGGGAGGCTGCAGAAATGTTTTAGTGATATGTAAGAAAAGTGCGGGAGGTGTGACAGAGTCAGAGGACACGCAGGGAGTGCTCCTGGCCGAGCAGAGAACCACTGCCTGAAGGTCGGCGGCAGCCTGGTGCGGGCGAACAAGCTTTTCAAGGTCACTGGTGGGCTGCTGCCCTGGCACTAGGAGCCATACTCATTGTCACTGCTTTTAGCTCCCTGGGAGAGGCATGTTGGGAGAGGGGTGGGGTCTCCATCCTGTCAGGGCTGCAGGGTCGTTGTCTTGACAACCTAAGAGGAAACACTGAAACCATCTTGCTCTTTGCCTGGTGGCGCCAAGAAAGGCTGAGGTGCTGGAGCCAAGGACCCCTTTAGAGGCAGAAGCAGTGGACGCTGGTGGGATGTTGGAAGCCAGTCTCCTTTTGCTGGTGCTGTGCCAAGTTGGCATTTAGAAAGATTCCCACTCTCTGATTACATCCTGCTCTACCGTGGGGGCCCAGAGGTAAGCTGGTGGCAATGGGGGAGCCAGCCAGGGACTAAAACTCGCTGTAGACAGTGGACAAGTTGCACATACATTCCGGAGTTTTCTTATGCTCACATATGGCCATACATATGTATGGGCACAAACACCCCCCACAGGACACAGATGCAGCCCAGAGATATTTAGGGGCTGCATCCGATCACTCTTTGAAAAGTTCTCAAGTTCCAGAATAAACTGCACTCACGGGCCAAACAAGTTCAACACTATTAAGTCTGCTAAATTTAAGGCATGAGCACAAATGTCTATTTAAATGTTCTCAAATGATATTTTTACAACACTGAACTAGAAATTTCAAGGGACTTGAAATTCTCATCCTCATTTTTATTCCTCCCATCACCTTTTGCAGAACCAGGATGAAGAGATCACAGTCAGATATTGCACGGATTCACAGCATTATACGCTGCCAATGGCGACCTGAAGGCAGGATGGTGGGGTGGGGGGGGGGGGGTGGTGTTAAGAGCTGGGCAGGCAGGCCCCTTGGGGGCCACCGCTGCCCCAGCACGTGCCCCTCAGGGTGGCTGCCTTTTAAGGGAATGGAGCACTTCTCATTATGCTCAGCATTCATTACTTAAAACGATCCTGGGGTATCAGGGTTATCTCATATTTTATAGGCCCAGTAAGTTCCCATCATCCAGAGTCTTGTTACCAGGAAGTGGCAGGAACAGAAAGGGCCTGGAAGTTCATCCACACACTGCTGGGAACCAGGAAGGACGGCATGGAAACAAGGCTTTCGGGGTGTTGGCCACCTCTAGCTGCACATTCCTGGGCAGGTCACCTCACCTTTGGCTGGATAACACTGAAGCGCCTACTGCTATGAGAGAGGTACAGTTACTCTTTACATGGCCCTTGTGTTCTCTGCACGTTGGGATCAGATCTCTTTTTGGCCCCCAGGGCCTGCAGAGGTGCCTCTGGGCCGCACTGGACAGCAGAGGTAGGACTGGAGTTCAGTCACCCACCAGCTTGGGCACTTAGTTAACTTCCCTGAGCCCTACTTTCCTTAGCTGTCAAAAGGCAACTGTGCCGCCCCCTTGCAGTGTGACCGAGTGGTCTGAAGGAGCACAGCGGGTGAGGAGGCCTGGCCTGGAACCTGGTCCCTGACACGGATGCAATAGATGTTCGGGAGCAGACAGCTCATTATGTCTGTGGTTACTTAATTCACGGGTGATGGCAACGTCCTGCAGATACTTATTTCTAAGCAATGAAGAGAGATAAGAAAACCCAAGCCCCCAGTCCCTTACCTTCTCCCCAAAGATCCTTTGACAAATGCCATTCTTGGCTAGCTTCTCTTTCACCTGCCGGGTGAGCTCAATGGTGTCCACCTCCTGGTACATGTAGATCTCATACTGCTCAGGCGTCAGTGGGGGGACGGAGGGCTTGGCGGGCTTGGAAAGGGGCACGATCGGGGAGGAGGGCAGAGGGCTGTTCTGGGGTGTCTCGCTGCGGCTGGCTCCGGTAAGGCTCAGCTCCGAGCTCTGGGAGTACGGTGACTCTGCGCTGGGCCATTCTTTCCAGTACTCGGAGGAGGAGGGTCCTTGGAGCTGGCTGCGATCCCCCCGTGCCTGGCTACTGCCACTGCTGCCGCCACCACCGCCACCTTTCTCTTTCCCGCTGCTGGCTTCTTCGACCTTAGTCTCCTCGGAGGGAGCGCTGCTCTTTCTCTCTGGCTGCACCGTGCTCCACCAGTGGTCCTTCCACCCGCCGCTGCGGCCCAGCTCGTTCTTCACGTGTCGAAGGACGCCCTGTGCAGAGTCGGCCGCTCCCTGGAGGTCCAGCCCAGGCACATCCTGGGACTCCTTTTTGAGGGCTGGGGGGTTGGGTAGAGCTGAGGTGTTGGAATCAGGGGCAGAGGGGGGCTTCTTCAAGGAAATGGCTAGAGGAGAGTAGCTGGACACCGAGGACATGGGCGACGTGGATATTAACTTGGGGGTCAGGATGGCAATGTCAGTCTGTGACAGTGGTGTTTGTTTTAAGGCGGGGTCAAGGGCGGCTTGCTGGGCCTCCATCTCTCGACGGGCTTGCTGGAGGATGGAACGAATGGCGTCGTCGGAGCTCGCACTGCTGGACGTGGAGGAGGGCTGGGCCGGCTCCGCTGCAGGGAGTAACAGCAAACACAGAGGTTAGACGAGGTGGAGCTGCCACCCATGGTGGGGACATGCTTCCTTCACTCCACTTCTTCCTGACTCGACCTACCCTGAAATGCAGAATACCGGGGAGGACCACGCAGCTCTCTTGTCCGACACATCCCCAGTGAGCAAGACATTCGTGTACCTTGTCCGAGAAGACTCACTGTCAGGGAGTGTGATCAGAGGGAGGAAGTATGTTCAGCGATACCCATTCTGGACTTCCTTTCCCTGATGATTTTTAAACAGTACCCTTGTGTATTATATTCCAAAGTTCTAGTGGTTTTGTCAAGCTTTAGAAATGTAATTTCTGTTAACAGTGGGGGCTAGAGACCAGTCTCCCAGTGTAAGTGGCTAAGTTCCCTTCTGGGTGGGCGACTGTCTCGTGGCCAGCAACCCTGAGCCCCACAATGGACAGGGACCAGGGCTGTGATCCCCCAGGGGAGTCAAAAGTGTGGCTGGGCCTCAGGATCTCCATCTGTAAGCTCGGGATGGGTGATGGACAAGCCGAAAGATTCGTAACTAGGGCTGTGCACTAGAATCACCCGCTGGGCTTGTTAAGATGCACGTGCCCAGGCCCCAGCCCTGGAGTGTCCCACACAGAAGCAAGTGTGGGTCTGGACCAGCACCTGCATTTTCAACCGGCTCCCAGGTGACTGTGGAAGGAGGCCCCGGCTGAGAGGTGCTGGGCTGAACGCTCCCTCCAGGTGTGTCAGCTCAGCAATATGCCTTCCTACCTGGGGGAGGAAATCAGACAAGCTGGCCCTTTGCCTTCAAATGAGGCTGACAAATGCCTCAAACAACAGCGACAACCTATAATGCCTCCGGAGGGCCTGACTACTGGCTAACAGGAAGGCCTCCCTTGGCCAACCCATGTGACCCCACAGCCTCCTCAGGGGCAAGCAGCACCAGCAGTCTGCAGGAGAAACCGCACCCGGGAGGGAAGGGGCGGTCCCTGCAGCGGCACCCAGAGGTGGGTCTTTCTACTCCCAATTTGGGCTATCTCCTACCCTGCCAAGCTTTCTGTTTGTTCAGCTACCCGGAGGAGGGTCTGGCTTAAACCTCAACTCTGGCCTTGAGGGTGAGAACCACACCAGACTGAAGGCTCCATCCATCGCCAGGCCAGGTCCCATAAAGAGCTGTTCCTGACCCCCTGAGGTCTCTAGAAGGAGGCAGATGGCAACAGAGGGAAAGTGCTAGGACTCGAGTTGGGAGATCAGGGTTCCCCTCTAGGGTCTGCCAGTTAATGAGTTTGTGCAAATTATTCTAACTTTCAGCATGTTAGCCAGGGATAATAGGATAACAAATCTATCATCCAGGGCTGTTGTGAGGAACCAGTTTGAAGAGCTGGTTTAAGAGAGGCCCAGCCTGGGTCTGCCCCCCAGCAGCAAACACTGAGCTCACCCACTGAACAAGCCACGTGGGAGCTGGCAGCCTGGGGAGAGGATCCAGCGACCAATGCCACGACCAGTGGTGGCCCACCCTCAGCTGCCACAGCCCCAAGGGCAGGCCTGGCAGGAGCCTCGTGACTGGCTTCACAGAGGGGCTCTGCAGAGAAGGGCTTGCTGGGCACAGGGCCGGTGTGTGCAGAACCCTGGGAAGAGGCCTCCGGCACGCGGTTTCCTCTCCAGCAGGACTGAGCTGAGTCTACAGCATGGCTCACATCAGAAAGCTTAACCACAGAAACGCCAAAATGTGGGAGCTCTCCCCTCTTGGAGAAGGCAGCTCTCAGGGAGCTCCGTGGCCGCCTGCTGAGGCAGACGGACCACAGACGTGGACACCTATCCTTTAAAACTTCCCATTCCTCCCTAGCAACATTGATTCCATAAAGCAGCTGTTAAGAATTTACCCTTTTTCAGTAGTGTTTGGTTAGGTGTATATCCAAATAACAAAAGGCTATATTGCATTTAAAGAAGAAATTTGATTCAAACTACCAGTTAATGTAAGTTAAGAATACCCTAGGCCATGGACATATTCTTGAATCAATGGTTGAGAATGACATTATGGAAAGGATGGTAACTCTTAGCAAAACACATATTACACAGATGTACTCCCCTCTGCACTTACTTAAATGCTGGAAAATATACATTCTACTTTTTAAAAAGATTTTATTTATCTTTAGAGGTGAAGGGAAGGAGAGAAGGAGAGAAGGAGAGAAGGAGGGAAGGAGGGAAGGAGAGAAGGAGGGAAGGCGGGAAGGAGAGAAATACCAATGTGTGGTTGCCTCTCGTGCGTCCCTTGTTGGGAACTGGCCTGCAACCCAGGCATGTGCCCTGACTGGGAATTGAACCGCAATCTTTTGGTTCACAGGCCCATGCTCAATCCACTGAGCTACCCCAGCCAGGGCGCATTCTAGTTTTTTTTTTTTTTAATAAGAAGTTAACTACTGCTGACCAAAACACCTATGACAATATTCTAGTTAAGTTTGGGGAAATAGTAGTCAAAGGAGCAGAGCCCGTACCGGTTTTCTGCACCTGCAGCTCCCTTTTGGCTTGTTCCAGGATGGACTTGATTGCTTCATCGGACCCAGTCTCTGAGGCTCGGATCCGGGTGGTGATGTTACCTACAAGGAGAAGCCACACCAATGACATCACACCCACACCTCGGACAAAAAGCAGTGCTGCATGAAGAGGTCTCTCTGATAAATAGCTCTCATGGGAGTGGAGGTGATAACGGGCAGGAGGCAGGCGTGGCCTCCCATTTCCTGTACCTGCTATGCGTGCAACTTCACAGCAGGTACCATGACCCCATGCAGGAAGGGCTTCCTGTGGAATCTATTTGGCACTAAATGTTACTCAGCCAGTGGGACGAGCTCTCACATTCACCCAAGCTGGGCACCCACGGGTTGGGACCAGGGAGAGCCAATCATTTAATCTGGCATAAAAAAAAGCGCAATGGTTTTTTTGCAAGTCATTTAAAAGCCACTCTAACAACTGCTTTGGTGTGGGGCTCTCTGTTCAAGGTTATGTACGTGTATTTGAGGCTGGCATCTCAAAAGGGAAAGTGGAAAAGAAGGGTTGAGGCTGATTACCTGTCAATTATTTGGATGTACAAGGTGAAGAGGCTGAAGGCTTAACTTAAAGTTTTCAATCTGTTCTCATGTATTGTCTTTTAAAAATTTATGAACGAGGAGAGGAGCCTACAGAAATCCCTAAAGGATGAGAATTCAGTCTTTTGGTCACATGGTGATGCTTTGCAGAGTAGCCACAAGTACAGAAGCACTGAAGCTACTATGGCCCGGGGGCTGGCCCCAGTGCTTTCTGGAAGCCGTCCACATTTTACTTTTCCACTGCCTTACTTTACTACAATAGGAACCACCGCACCAAACCATTTAAAACCCACACACCACGGGGACCAAGCCCCATTAAAGACGCAGCTCTAAGGAGTGCAACTGGGGCTGGCTGGCCAGGGCCCACAGGACGCTGACTGTGACGGAATTTGTCCACTCCGCAGCACCTTCAACATATTCAGTTAAAAGAAAGTACGAGGAAGCAGCAGTATCTCATCGGACTCAGTCACCTGATTTCTCTCAGAGCAGCAACTGGTATTCTCTCGCCTGCTCCTGAGAAAACGGGACAGGCATAATTGGAACCTAACGGGGCTGGGACTCATACTTGGGCACTACTTCTTGGTGGTGGAGCCCGCTTCTCACCGCTCCTGCACTCGGTAGAGTGTGAGCACTCGGGAGGAAGAGGTCTTGCGTACTTGAACCCGTGCTTTGTTTTATACTTACTAGCTCTGTTTTTCCATCAGGTTCCAGGCCAGAATCACACTGCACAGTTTTAACCCAAATACACAGCTAAGGACATGCTGCTTCCTAGGTTACTAACTGCAAAGAAAAACACCTGCCTGCAACATACCTTCAGACCCATTTCTTCGTTTCGGTACTTCCTGAAATAGTCTGTTCAGGCTCTGGCCTGGATTCTCTGTTGAAAAACAAGTGTGGTAAGAACAAAACAATCAGGGGGATGGTGGTGTTGACGATATGGGCTGCGTGACATGAAATCTGAGCCACCTGTCACTACTGAGAGGGCTCAGGGCTTCCTGTGCAACTTGGGAGCTACTGGAAAGTTCTGAGAGGCCACTCCCTGGCTGACTGGCCTCAGAGGCCGTGGCTCTGCTGCAAAAGGTGATCAGACGGACCTGCGGCCTGCGGCACCAATGCCACCAGGGGCGAACGGAGGGAGCCCTGCCGCTAAGCGAATTGCCCACCAGCCCCCGGGACAAAGCTCACATTAATCATCCAAAGACAGTCAATTTCAGTTAACATCGCCATAAAAAGCTCGATGTGCTTTGTGCAAATTGATGTTGTTGTTCAACCGTCTCCCTTCTGTTTGTTTTGAGGCTGCATTTCAAGGTTTTCCACATGCGCCTGACAAGACTGCCTCTCTCTATCACTGCCAATTTGGCAGAGTGAGCCCCTGCCGTTAGGGAGGGAAGGGGCTCTTTCAATTGGGGGCCGCACTGACTTTTTACCTTTTTATAGAGGGTGGAGTAGGAAGGGTGTTTTAACAAAACTTTCATGTATGGAACTCAAGGCAGGTGTGTTTTGCTTATAACGCTAAATAAATCACTAGCAGAACATAAGCACTGGGGGAGAGCTGCTCCCATGGAACCAGCCCTGTGCGAGGACTGACCCCGGTGCTGCCGCTGCTATAGGGCTGGACGGCACCCAGGGACTCCTCCTCACGTGGGGTCCAAGGCCAGTCGGACCACTGGACACTAAACATGGAGGATGCTGTACGTGACATGATTCCCTCAATTCAACACACAGTACTGAAATACTGAGTTCACTACGCGTGAGGTGCTGAGAGGGTTTCAGAGGCCAGCCCTCCCACATCTAACAGCTTTCGCTCATGCCAGTTGACCCCTGAACCCTGGAAATGGTAGAACTGAAGAGAGCGTTACCTGATGTGATGTGCACATGTCTCATTGCACACAGACACACACACACAACTCAGTGACGGGCTGACAGGCTGGCACCAACCCACGAAAGTCTCTCACCTCTCTGTCTGCCTTGGATGCTGCGAAGAGCCAAGATGTTCTGCTCATCCGAGAGGAACTGCTTCATCTTGTGAAAAGGCTCCTTGCCACGAACGGTCAGTTTATTCCACGGCTTGGGCCGGGCCAGGATCTCGCTCACGGACCCTTGAGACAGTCCCAAGACATAATGTCCAAAAATGCGCTGTCCAATATTGTGCTTGATCAACTGCTCTTTCACCTGCCGGGCGATTTCTGCAGTGTCTATCTCCTCGCCCTCGGAGGCGCTCCCAGCACTTTCTGATTGGCTGGGAGATGGGGCCATGCCATTTACATCTGGGCTTTGCTGTAATGGACTTTGGGATGATATGGAGTTTGTGCTGTATGGACCTGTTGAAAAAATCATGCTTGTGCTTCCTGCTTCCTGCATGGCCTTGGAGTAGAAGGACTGCATTAGCTGTCGTTGGAGGAGAGAGTTTAGTGCAAATTTTCCCGTAGAAGCCAGGGGTAGGCTGGGGCTTGCCAGGGATGAGCTGAAAAAGTCTTGAGTTAACCCCGCTGGTGAGAACTGGTGTGTACCATTAGTATTGGAAGCCTGCTCCCCCGTGTTGCGGGGCAACTGAGGAGGGGGCGCCGGCAAAGGTCCAGGACGCCGACTCTCAGGCTGGTCTTTCCCTTTTCTCCTGGCTGACCCTACAAGGAAGGGCAAACATAATGCATTATGGGGGATTCAAAAGGGAAAAAAAACCAAGACCAAAATGCAAAGTTTGCCCCACAAAAGGGAAAAAAAAGTGCAGATTTTACAAGGGCCAATGAGAAGTGTTGGTTTGTTTTTCAATTGAATTTTTAAATCAGCCAAACGAGGCCCCCCGGAAACAAGCAACATGCATTTCATGTTTGCACCTTTCTTGTACGTTGCAGCCTGGAGAGTCCCCTTGACATAGATTCAAACTCCTAAAGTGACAAGGAGCCGGTACCACACACAGTAAAGAGTTGACAAGTCGCAGGCCTCTGATCAGGCCTCTGGCACTCGAGCTATTACCAGGAGGGCCCCACCTGAGGAGCAGCAAACACTGACATTCTGGGACCAACGGGTTCTCTCACACCACTTGCTCTGAGGCGAATGCACTGCACCGAGTCCACTCGATCGAAGGCACGCACATTTTAAGAATGAAATATCATCGAAGCCCGAGACACTTTTAAACGGTTTACCAGCTGCCAAAACCAGAAGCAGTCAGTGACGCCACCACTTTGGGATGAGCAAAGAAAGGCTAAGGATGGGGGAGGCGTTCCCAAGGAAAACCTGACAAAGGAAGAAAAGCTCCACTGAGCCTGGAAGGGCGGGGCCAACACTGGCAGCAGCCCCGAACACACCACGAGAGAGAGGCCGCACAACTAGGAAAAGATCAGAAAGCCAACGTCCTCCGAGTGTCCCTCCTGCCATCTCCTGCAACACTGGCTCTAACTGACCGCCGCAGACACTCCGTGGCCACAGCCCTCACTGTGACCGTCATTAAGCAGGCAGGGAGGGAGGGAGAGGAGCAGTGAGGACGAGAGGAGACCAAACACTTATTAGTCAAGGTTCTCATCAACCGGTGATATTCCCGTCATGCATCGGCCCAGACTCACAGTTCACCTTCCTCTTCCTCAACCCCTGGAAGGGGCCGAGCACGGCATGAGAGACCCTGTCAACCTACCGCTCAGGTCGCTGTTGGAGATGCGCAGTGCGGCGTTCTCGGACTGCAGCGAGCGGTTCTTCTCCAGCAGCAGAACCTCCAGGGGCTTGGACGCGTCCTAGACGAGGCAGAGTGGGGCTCACTGTGGGCGGGCCGTGCTCCCACGACCCAGACCCCAGACCCTGCAGCCCCGCTCCTACGGCTTCCTGCCTGACCCTCTATCCCATTCTGGCCCATCAGGGACACGGACTTCCCTGAAGATGCTCAACACACGTGTGGGGACATGCATGGGAACCCTTTCCAAGAGAATTCATTTCAGTCAAAGTAATTTTCCTTCTTTTAGACAATTATTCTCTCTTCTGTCTCCTAATTCAAACTGTCTAAACCTAAGCCTCGTCTGGCGCAGGACTGGCTGCAGAGCCGCACAGCTGTCAGAAAACCACTGTCAAGGACCCAGCCACGCAGAGTGGGCTGCTCTCTGGGCACCAGGGGCAGGATTCTGTTACACGGCTTAAATTTTCCCTGGCTACCAGGTTACCATGTGCCGCTGTCACCTCGCCTCTGCAAGTAATACAGGTTCCTAGGCTGGCACTTTGGGGGCTGATCTTCAACACAATCTGAAATAGTTTTTATTCAAGTTCGAGTTGGCAAGTACCAACTTACATCACAATTTCATTTAAATTGAGTTACCAGGTTTGGAAAACACTAACTTTCCTTTTTAAGTAAAGATAAGTTGCTTTAACTTGGTTAAGCGTTCTTAAGGAGTGGCTGTCAGCTGTGGGCGGGCGGTCTCAGAAACGCAGAGGCGGTGACACTAGGGACGGACGTGCCAGTGGCAGTGCTGATGCCCCCACACGCCTACAGCGAAGTGAGACCATGTACCTGTGTCCCAGCTCCTTCAGACGGTGCAAACTCCATGGACTTCAGAATACTGCGAAGAGCAAGACAGGGTGGTTATTTCCTACTCATACCTTTGGTAACAGTCATTCTAAATAAGCATCAGCATCAGCATTTCCCGCTCTCCAGGAACGGAGGATCTGACAACTTTAACAACTTCCCTGGCAGGATTATCATCTGATAATGTCTCCAGAATAGCTATTCAACTAGCAGTTGGCCAGCAAAAGTATCTTGCCCGGCATGTAAATCACTCCATATGGAATCACACCAGGTCTGCTCAGAGTATAATTTTAAAGTTGAACACAGACATAACATTGATGCAAGTAGAATGTATTTGTAAAGCTTAGCGAGAAGGAAAGAGCTGATACAAGAAGCCAACCTCAGAGAGAAACCTCAGCACCCCAGTGCTGCCACCCCATATGCTCAATTGGGAGCTGGTACTGGGGATGGGAAATGGGCAGAGAGCACGGCCCCATGGCTGGACGGCTCAAAAACTGGCAGGCACCTTCTCCACCACCCCAGGACGGGGAAGGAGCACTCTTGCAAAGGTGTGGGAGAGCATGATTATTTCTCCTTTGTTCTCCTTATCATTGAAATCACATCAGTCTCTGGCATGTTTCAAGTCTGAGAGCTGAGTGAGTCCAGGTGCCCAGAACTGATGCTTCTGGTGCTCCTTCAGCGTGTGCATTGCTGTATTTCTGTGAGCTGTTGGGAGGAGAGGGCGAGTCCACGTGGGTGGTCCCTCACATACACGGAATGAGCACAATATGCATCCCAGGCAGGGGCTGCCCGAGTTCTCCCAGCATTTCTGACGCCACAACTGTAGCCTCTGCCCTCTCTAAGCTCCATGGAAGTGTCACTAGGAGAGCACGCCATGTAAAAATACCCAACGCCCCAGGAGACCTCTTTCTGCCACAGTCACCACAAGGTTCAGTGAGCAGCTGACTGCTCTTAGTTTCTCTATGGGTGTACAGGTGCACTGGCCTAGTCATATAAACCAACAAAACAGAACGAAGAGGAGCTAATGGGAGTAAACCATGTATCGGGTTGGCCAAAAAGTTTATTTTTTTCATATGATGGCCCTACTAGTGCTTAGTTGTCTGTCAATTTCATTCAAAACCATTCTGTTAGACTGTATTGTGACAGCTGTCATATTAGCGTGCATTAAAAAAAACTTATTGAAATTGGTTTATTTTTGTGCAACCACTTTAATACTGAAGATGGAAGAAGATATTCAACATTTTTGGCACAGTATGCTTTATTATTTTAAGAAAGGTAAAAAAGCAACTGAAATGCAAAAAAAAAAAAAATTGAGCAGTGTATGTAGAAGGTGCTGTGACTGACTGTGTCAAAAGTGGTTTGCGAAGTTTCTTGGTACTACTGACATTTTGGCCAAATAATTCTTTGGGGCTCACCGATGCACTGGAAGGTGTTCAGCCACACCCCTGGCTTCTACCCACTAGAAGCCAATAGTGGGGGATAGCCGATATGCTTAAAATATTCAAATCAATCAAGTCATTGGTGAAAGTAAAAAAATGTGCCTTTTATTTTATGGAAAAAACTAAATGGACTTTTTGGCCAACTCAACAATTTTATTTCACAGCAGGCTGTGGGAAATACTAAAAGGACTCAGCCCCGTCACATCAGACAGAAGCCTGCGATGTGTCCTCTCTCAGTGACCTCTACACTGCTCACAACCATATTCTGTCTGCAAGCTTCTTTAGATCGTGTAAGAGAAGATGGAGTCTTGGAGTTTATACCGAAAGCACCAGCGTCTCTTCATTTAGTCAACAGATATCTATCAACGACCTGTTACACGGCCGACACTGGAGAATCAGAACCACTCCGCTTCTCACCCGCACGAACATCACGGGCTCTTTCAGAGCTGACGGAATCCAGATAACATGGGAAGGGGAAACCCTATGGGGGCCCTTGGACAGACCGGACTGGTCTGCAGACGGGTCTGTGTGTTGAGCAGTTCAGAGTCTGGGACGGGCCTTGAAGGCGCAGGATGCTTTATAGACTGTGGGGGAATGCGTCCCGGGACAGAGATGGGAAGGAAATGTGAGCACGTGTCTGAAAAAGCACTTGGATCTCTAAGAAGCTGGAGGCAGAGGTCACATTTTATCAGAAAAGCCACGCAGTGGGGTGGCTTTCTGATGCTGATGTAGTTAGTAGTGGGGGCTGGGTCGTGCAGATGAGACAAAAGGGCAGCAGGAAGGCGGGAAGGGTGCTGTGGAAGGAGGTGGGGCCAGCGAGGCAGGCTGATTAATGGGAGGACCAGACCAGGGACGCGCTGCAGGCTAGAGTCAAGGAGCCTTGGGGATGGAGGAAAGCTCCGAGTGGAGGCCCAAGTGCCTCTGATTCCACACTAGCAGACAGCATACACTTACTTTCTTTCTTTTGAAGGGGGACAAAGAGGAAATGGGAAGAAGACTGTGACACAGAGGCAGGTACAGAAGGTCCACCAGGTTAAAAAAAAAAAAAATAGAGCTTGAAGAAGCTGGAGCTGTAGAGAGGTTGAGGGACTGTCCAAGAAGGTCCGGCAGAGGCTGGGTGTGGGCAGTGGGAGAGAGTGCGGAGGACTGGGCCTGGAGGCACCTCATCAGGGAGGCTGGCGGAGGTCATGACTGAGGGGAGGACATGTCTCGCCTGGACATGGTGGCAAGAAGGTCCAAGGGGCCTTGTATTGTGCTTTTCTAGCAAACCCGAGGGAACAGAATTGAGAATACAAATAACAGCATGGAGAGTTGGTTGGTGTATGCTTATTTTAAAAGGAGAAATTAAAAATGTCAGCAAGAGAGAAATGAGCTGACAGAGTAGCAGGAAGGAGTAGGAAGGGAGCCAGGGTGCAGGTGGAGGACTCAGCCTGGAGAATTTGGAGGAGAAGCCAAGGACAGAAGCAGTGATTTCGAGGCAAAGGGGAAAGATACAGGATGTCTGTCTCCTCTGTGGGCAGAGCACCAGGATGGCTGCTGGGGCGGGTCAGGGCTCAGGTGAGGACAGAGGAGGCTGCTGAGGGTATAGAGGGATCCCTGGGGCAGCACGAAGCCCACAAACAGCAGGGGAAATAAAAGCCTGTAGGGACCCAGTCAATACACCAGTGACTTCCTTGCAGGATTTGATAACCTGGCTGTAGAGGTGGAGGATGGGCAGGGGAGACTCTGTGAGGCCAGGCAGGAGGATGAGGGGGCTGTGTGCTCTATAGTGGGGTGCCCATGAACTCCAGGCTAGTGGAAGAGGCCATGGACTTGGAGTGTGCTAGAATTGGGGAACAGGTTAGGGATCAGAGCCTGGGAGCTGCAGAAGGACCAAGGGTACGCTCTGGGGAAAGAATAGGAGGCATGAGGATCAGGCCGGGTGGTGGGGCCTAAGGAGGAAATGTCTAAGCTTAAGTATGTAAATTAGCACTGAAGGGACAATGCCCGGATGCCCTCCCTCAGACAGGGAGTTGGAGGTCGGGGGAAGAAAGTCTTGGAGTCTTGGTGCCCAGGGAGGTGTGAGGCCAGGTGCACTCTTCGCCTGGAAAATGTTTCCCTGCTTTGCTCTGCTTCTGCTTGGGGGAACTTACAGCTGAACAACAAGCTTGTATTTTGTCATTTCTAAAACAGTGATGTCTGCCTTGATTCTGTGCATACTGGTTTACTTAAACGCACAGCTCCATAAAAAGTCCAGAGGACCCAGGCACATGCCTATGTGTGAGCGCCCACAGCCTGGGCAGCCCTGGGCCCGCCCCATGGAGCAGCATCTGCTGAGGCCAAGACCTAGGACCTGGGGTTGCCCCCTCGCTGCCACTTAGAAGGAATTTCTTAGCAAATGTCCCCAGTGAGCTCTGGCTCGTGAGTGGCTGAGCAGGCATCTCCACACTTACTTTAGTTCTTTCTTTACCTCTTCATAGTCAGCCTGTCCTTTGAGTTTTTCTTCCAGTTGCTGAAAACAGAGAAGAGTTTTTTTAGTTGCCATGACTGAAATAGGTCAATGGACTCTGCTGTGAACTGAGTGTTGGTGTCTTCCCTCCCCTTCCTGGTGTATAACTACGTTGAGATCCCGACTCCCTCTGTGAGGCTATCCAGACACGGGGCCTTTGGGGGTGGTTTGCTCATGAGGGTGGGGCCCTCAGGAGTGGGATCAGTGCCCTCAGAGAGGTCCCAGAGACCTCCCGTGCCTATCTGATGCTGCCCTGGGAAGACAAAGCGAGAAGGCAGTCAGGAAGGGAACTCTCACCAGACACCAAGCGTGCTAGTGTCTTGATCTTGGACTTCCCAGCCTCCAGAACTGTGAGAAATGAGTGTTCTCTGTAAGTGCCCCAGTCTATGGTGCCCTATTATTGCAGCCTGAGTGGACTAAACAGACTTCACTGACTACATTCCCTGTAAATTGTCTGGTGGTCACTCTCTGCTCTGCTGTGAGCATGCATGTCAGCGGACACAGGCATTCTCTCTCTCACACACTCACACACACACAGCAACATAAGGCTGTAAGATAAGATGTGGAAAACAACAAGGAAAAGGTCATTTTGTAGGAATACCATGAAATGGCAAACAGAATGAAGAGAATCTCTCCTAGTATTTTGAACAGAATATGTTTGGCTCGCTGATGCATATGCTCAGTTGCCGACGCCTTTGGTGGAATTCTGCAAATGGAAGCTGTGAACGCCTTTGTTGTTGAGATGGCCATCAGACAGGCACCAGGAAAAAGCACCGGTGGAGGCCTGTTCGGGGGCCAGCAGGGCTGCAGAAGGACACAGGACCCCCTGATGGCCCTTCAGAGGAAAAGTAGGGACTCCGGCCCCGGGGGCTCCAAGGGTGACAGCATGTTTCCCGGGTGGGATGACGCTCCGACGCGCTCCAGTGAAGTCTGCACGCCCCCGCGGCATTCGGGGAACTGGTCTGCACAAGCTCCGCAGGCCCGCTTGCTGGAAGGGCCTTTGGCATAGGCTAGACAGCAGAGGTGCTTCCTGTTACAAAGGTGTTTTGGACTAGTTTGCTTTTTTCTCCCCCAAACGGAGCTCTGGGGGAAATAAGGCAGCTTAATATAAAACATGAAGACCCAGCCTGTTGGAGGGTGGGGGTGGTTTCTAATGATTTAGCTATTTTCAAGCCTGGAGCGAACAAATTCCAGTGCCTGAATCAAAGCACCTTCCCATCTACAGGGCTTCCAGTTGCCACCTGCGTGACCGGCCAAAACAACGATCACGGTTCAAAGCCAACCGGGAACATTCTAGAGTCGTGGGAGGAGGTGCTCCTCTGGCCAGCAGCCTGGACATTTACCTGAATCCCACCCTGTTCACTGTTTCAAGGATTCACTGTTCTGTAAACAAAATTCATTTAGTCCATCTTTTCTATTGCGTTTCCTGGCAGTTTTGTGTATTTTCCATCGCGTAAAATTGCGCTGTCCTAGTTCCTTTTTAAGACCTCTTGCCAATGTTACGTATTATAATGGTTTCTGAGCCATAATCAAACAGGGGGAGCATGCACTCATTTCCCGACAAAAGATTCTCAGAAGGTGCTCATGAAAAAGTGATGATTTCATTCTTCTCCCTATAGTGGAATAGCAGGAAGCACTAATGTGCCAGCCTTCCCTAACAAAAGATTATCCACCACAGCTGGGACACTGAAACACTTTTCAGACTGAGGAATTCACTGATGCTGGACACGAAACACACATAAAACGTGGTCATGTTCAGAGATCAGGAGAAAGGAAGAAAGGCAGTGAGAGGAGGAAATATGGGGCACTTCAGAACTCAGAATGGCATTGAACCTGGAGTCAATTCTGTCCCTTATAAGCTGGGTAACTTTGGACATGTTAATGAACTTGTCATCTGTAAAACATGATAGCAGCAATTACCTTAAAGGGTTGAGCTTCAGGGCACAAGGCAAGGACACGGTGCAGATGTTGGCACTGTGGGGCCTTGGATGCTGGACCATCATCACTGCCAAGTCCCAGTTCCTCTCCCTGAGCGCACAGCTGCAGGCCTTTTCTGCGGACCCGAGATGGGCCCTGATCAGAAGGCTTTAGGACCACAGCCTGCGATTTGGCTGCATGTAAGTATGCACAGGGAACTACATTGCTTCCACTGGAATTTCCGCCACCTACTTAGGGGCGGCTTAATTAAGAACCCAAGACCATGCTTGTAAATCTCTAGTGATGTCTCTGGCTCACTGGGGGAACAAATGGATAGAGGTCTGACAAAGCTTGTCCCGACCTGAGAACTTTCAGCTCGTCCTCACGGAAGTCCCCGCAGAGCACGAAGCAGGAGGCACGGGGCTGAGCACTGGCTCTAAGGCTGAGGATACCCATCACGGCACAAAGACCGAGCACCCTCCGCTTGGTTCTTTGACCTGAAACTCTTTGCTGAGAACTTGGAAAGTCTACTTTTGAAGACTCAATCTGGAAAGGGCAACAGATGCTCCGGTCTGTCATTCTCGCTGGAGAAAGACTCTTCTTTCAGATTTTGCTCACACTCATCGGGTGGGCCCCATTCTACACTTGGTTCTGCATCCTGCTGTCTTACTTAATTGTTGCAACACCCTGCAGAGGCAAACTGTCTGCACAAAGAAAGAAAAAGAATCACTGAGTTCTATGATCAGACCTGCTGGCAGCAATTCCGGGAGGAAGCGAAAGGCTTGTGTGCTGAGGCCAGGCCAGTGCCTGTGGAGAGCCTGCGCTCTGAGCCTGGCCGGTGGGGTGGAGCCGCGCAGAGGCAGGGCGACCTTCAACAAGACACTTCACTTCTCTAAGCCTCAGTGTGTCCACCTGTAAACGGGGGTAGTGCTGCATAAAGTACAGCACTTTCACGTGCAGTAATGCCTTATTAAGTGCTTAGTGTGGCACTCGGCACACAGCAGAGCACTCGTGAGGGCAGGTATTATCGTTACTCTGGTTATTATTACTTTGTCCTTGGTGGGGGATCCTGAATATGACTGAACTGTTTCTGGGGAGACTCAGTGGTTCTGAATCTAGGGCCTGTTTATGAAGCTCTCCACATCCCAATTTGTCACCTCCCAGTGTCCCCACTGTCCTATGGCAGGTCCATGGAGAAGGAACACAGGTACTGGGAGCAATTTTGACTGTTAAATGCTGATGGCAGGAAAGGCAGTTCCAGATTCTGTGCCACAAATGCAGAATTTGGAAACCAGATTATCCTCCTGAAAAGGTACTTATGTAAGAACACATGTGGGTTTTACACCGACACATGAGACATGGCCAAGTGTCCGAAACAGGTTGCTAGCCCAGCTCTGTTCTGGCTGAGTGTGACCTTTGTGCCCCTCATGTGAAAAATGGGGAGGGTTTTCAAATAACAGCAGTGAGAAAAAGTAGGGCAAGCAAATGCAGGCTGCCAAATGCCCCTCAAACATGACTGTTTTATAATATAGGTCACATACATTTGATAATAGAGAGCATGTATGTAGTTCCAGGAACTTAGTAGCTGCTCATCAAATGTTTCTTGAATTCCTAGAAGAGTTATCTATATGAAGTTCTTAAAATCCTGGCTAAGAGTCAAACAATAAGGACATTTAATTTAAAATGCAAAGTATTTTGGGGTGCGGAAAATTAGGCACTGCATTTATAAAAGATGTCTGTCCTAGTCAAGTTATAACACAGGGCTTTCTGTATCTAGGGATACGAAATTCAGGGACCTCTGGCATGGGAGACTAATGCAAAGACCCTTGGGAAGGCATCATTTTCCAGTATCGAGGTGAGGGCAGCAATACTTCTCTGCAATAAAGCAAACTCTGGGCCAGAGAGGTGACTGCATTCCAGTGTGTACATGGCTCCACCTTTCTCCTCCAGGGGATCAGAACCAGGCTCTTGGCAGTGCTGTCTGAAGACTGACAGCTCAGGTGTCAGCGTGTGACCCCTGGTCCTCACCTGGGGCCCTGTGCTAAGGGGCCACCATTCAGAGCGGAGTAAGTGTGACTGAGTTCCCTGGTCCAGGGGAGGGCATTGAGGCACAGCCCCTTGGGTTGGTACAGCCCTTGTGGGGTCCAGGACTGGGCAGTGTGCACCTGAATGGGGACCCACTCCAGTTCCCAGTTTCTCCTTGAGAGGTGGCATGTATGTAAATATTGAATCTACTGATGCTGTGCAAGGGGGAGGAGCCCAGAGATGGCTGGGAGGGAGCTATGCACATATGGATGCTGAGAACTCGAAACAAAGGCCAGAAGACTGCAGGGCCAGGTAGGGGGTTGGTGGGGAGAGTGGCGGTTAGGTCGGAGCGCTTGCCGCAGGCTGGAGAAGTGTGACTCTGGACAGAAGAGGAGCCCCTGTAGGCAACCCTGTCACAGGTCACCTCTAACTTCTATAAGCTGTGATCTACGTGTGACCCAGACACAGGGCAGATGGGAGCCAACTCCTTCTCATGGAATAGTGTCATCACAAACCATGGGGTCTTGGTCCAAATAGGCCACCTGGACAAGACCAGTCACGGTCAGTTACGGGTGCTGCAAGCTGGGACTGTGCTAGTGTAACATCTGGGTCAGCTCTCCAAGCGACCAGAGGCAGGTGTGTCTTTCCAAGACGATGCATCACAGATTCCCACAGTAATCAGCTCCCTGAGTGAACCCCCCAGTAATACCTGCTAGTTTGCAGTGCTTTCATAGGGGCACACCTGTGACCTCCAGCCTCCCCCAACCCCAACACAGCCCTCGAGGCCTACAGCACCAGGCCCCCTGGTTTTGTCAAAATTGCTTCCTGGGGGCCCCTCCTTTAGGGCCTTGCCACTGCTCCCCGAATGTGGCGACCTTTGCCCTTCCTCCTCCCTGCAGAAGGCTCACTCTGTCCTTCCCTCTGATCCGCTCGCAGAGCCTTCCAGGCCCAACCAGGGCGAGGTTCTGGGAGGCTCGGTTCTGGGAGGCTCAGCTCTGGGAGGCTTAGCCCTGGCCTCCTCTGCTTTTGAGATGCTGATGCTAGGATGCACTCATGCCACCCAGGGTAAGTTTCCCTGGTGTTCAGTGGGTGCTGGCCTCTCCTAACCTCAGTGACCTTCACCACAAGGCAGCGGCCATCATACCTGTTTGCTCCGTGAGTGTCAAATGAGATGTGGATGTTACAGCTTTATACACTGAGACGTCGATAAGATGCTTGTTAAAACATCACCGAAGGCAGCCTCTGTGCGGAGTAAACACACTGCCAGGTGAGGAGACTTATGTAACCAAAGAAGCAGCATCCAGAATGAAAGGCACCGAGTGACTCTAGAGATGCAGTCATCAGTCTTTTTTCCTGTCCTACCCTTTCTCGGGACACACCATGCTCTGCAGTGGGTCAAGAGGACCTATCAGCACCTCAGGAGGTGTGGTGAGGGGTGCAGAGGGGAGCCACACAGTTTGGAGACAGTCCTGCAGGTAATTCCAAAATACCTGCCAACAACTGTGATTTCTCCCTATGGGAGGTTGCCATCCTTTTAACTAACTTTTCTTATAAGCATCATTTTTTAAAAAGATTTTATTTACTTATCTTTAGAGGGGAAGGGAAGGAGAGAGGGAGAGAAATATCAATGTATGGTTGCCTCTCATGTGTCCCCTGCTGGGAACTGGCCTGCAACCCAGGTGTGTGCCCTGACTGGGAATCGAACCACAATCCTTTGGTTTGCAGGCCTATGCTCAATCTACTGAGCTACACCAGCCAGGGCCTTATCAGTATCATTTTAAATTGAAGCTTTTGGTAGTTTTGCTTTCTGTGCTACAGTGAGCATAGTGCAGGTGACTGCTTAATTATACTGCCTGCTTTAAAGTGTCCCAACAGAAGACTACAGAACAGAGTCATCAGAAAAGCAGCCTGGTAACGGCAGCTGGGTTCTTCATTAATTACGGATATGGAATTATCCCCTACAAGTGGCACTGTGCTTAAGCACATGTCAGGACGGGCAGGAAGGAACATCTCCCACTTCTGAGTCTGTTTCCACGTCTCTTCAAAGGTCAGAGGACATACTACTGCGTGTGGAGAATGAGGTGTTCACGGTGAACTTGGCTCGATGAAGTGGAATATAGGGAGGGAAAGACTGGAAAACACCCAACTGTCAATTTATTCTCAAAAAATTATGAATCAGTTGTTTAAGGGAAGGGAAGAAATATCAATCGCAAAGAGACGGAGAGTATCGGGTACTAGAGAAGGCGACCAATGAGTCCCTAGGTCCACGCCCCTGCAGAGTGCCCCTGCAGAGTGCCCCACCAAGAAGTGCTGGCGGGGAAACCCCTGCATGCTCAACCCTCTTTAATTATCTCAAGATTCTTGTGAGGCCTACCTCCCACACCCCACGGGTGACTGTCACTAGCGTTTGTCTTGGAGATGACTGCTAATGTTCTTGTGAGGCACCCGCAGTTCCAAGATGGTGAGAGAGCAAGAAGCTGCAGTATCCTCGAACAGATCCTAATTTGAATCCTGCACAGAATGTCCCAGAATCCCTACAGCTGGCCAGTGTGGTCCAAGAAGGAGAGGGCTGGGGGGAAAACAAGGAAGGGTGGGGGAGGGAGGAGAGGAGAGGAGAGGCCTGGGGAAGTGCAGGTGCGGCTTGCTGCTCCTTCTGCGTGGCCCCCAGCGCTGGGCCGGAGCCAGTTGCAAAAGCATCAGGCTGTCAATCTGACAAGTCTCATTCATAAAATATTTTCCTAATAATTGTATCGCTGCTTAGTTTAGACTTGCGACTATAAATTATACACATTAGGGGGGAAAAAGCCCTGGGAAGGTATCTCATTCAATTAACCTTATTCCTTTGGGGAGGGCTAATGCCTCCTGTGTGTGGGTTCGATGCTGGGGAGAGCTCCACTCCTGGCGATGAGGGGTTAAGATAATTAAAATCAGAGAAGTCTTGTTACTAGAGGATATGTTTTGATTATTAGATCAGATGAAGATAAGGGAGCAATAATTTTGGAAGAAGTATTGCTGAATTGTTTCATTAACTGCACAGTATTAAAGAATTCCCCCAAGATATGGATAAAGAACATTAATTTGTGAAAACTGCGTTTCATTTTTTGTGAAGGCAAACATTAAAACCTTAACTGATTTAGAAGAAATTGCTCTATAATAAAAAATGTAAGGTCTACAGCCTCCCTCCCGTGCAGTCACAGGCAGAATGCATTCGAGTCAGACCCTTCGATGGCAGCAGAGGAGAGAGGGGAGAATTATCTAATAACAATGCCAGTGCTGGGGTCGGAAATGGCTGTAACATGAGAAAATTAGATTTAATCTAGAAATAAAAAATGAGCCCTGGTACTCTCTGGGTGGGCTGATGGGAGAAAAAGACACACTGAAGATATAGATGCCGTGGTTGATGACAAAGGTGACCAGGTCTCAACCATCTCCTCGAAGTCACAGGACCGTCTTCCCCGAGGGGCCCAGGCCCCCGGCAGCCTCTCAGGCAGTGGGGGAAACCCGCCCCAAGGAGGCAAAGGAGAACCCTTTGCCTACCCTTTCTCGGGACACACCGTGCTCTGTGAGGGAGAGCTGCGGTCCCACCTGTGCCAGTGGGGTCAGGCCAGTGAGCTGCCATGAGGACAGGCTTGCTGGGAACTTACTGAGGTCTGGGTCAGAAATGTGGTCAAATGTTGAGCAGAAAGATTTCAATTAAAAAAAAAAATCAAAATGAACCTAACTATATTCTGGAATTGCTTTATATAAGAAAAAGTTGTCTTGGCATTTTCATAACTAGTCTCAGTCTACCTTATTTAGTGTACAATGACTACACTTGGCAGTCACTCACTCATTCACTCACGCACCTCACAAATGCAGCTGAGCTGGGGCAGGAGGCCCGAGTGGGCACGGCTCAGGCTGGGGAGGGAAGGCAGGCAGAGCACTGCTCTGGCCTGGAAGCAGGGACCCCGAGCCTTTGCTGATCCTGTATCTTCAAGGTCAAATAAGACACCCTGAGAAGGACCTTCTGGCTCTGACATGCTATGAGGGTCCCAGGACTATCTTCAAATTATACCAGTAACTTCAACACACTGAAAATACATTAGATAATATATACATATATTTTAACATAATGAAAAAGGTTTCAGGTTCTGCCCTTGGGATACGAGGTTATGAGAAACCCCAGGAGCTAGCTTTTGTCTGGGCTGCTGTGGTTCCCTCTGGGAGGAAAGAGACCAACCATGAGCTTTTGGGCTGCCCGTGGTCCGGCACAGGCCCGAGGGGCCAAAAGTGGTCCTGCAGCTTAAGAGCATGGCCCACAGGGTCTGGAGCGCCTCTTGCTTTCATTTTCTTAGGGCACAAAGAAAGCCCAAATTTCAGTGTGCTGGGTCTTCCCAAGGGCAGCCTCCTCTAATGGCTTGTTTATGCACACGGCCTGCGGACTTGACAATCACTCTAACCCAATAAGCACACAGAATCTCCAGGTCCGCTCTGTCAGCCCCAGTTCGCAGGTGGTGAAGCAGAGCCATGGGCGGGCGGGCAGGCGGGCACTGAGGACGGGGATTTCCACCAAGTGCTGCGTGCAAAAATGGTAGGTCGAGAGGGAGGCGCTGCCCAGGCTGGAGCTAGCAGAGGGGGTTCAAAGTCCATCTCCCTTCCTTGGGCTCCAGGACTCTATTCACAGAGGTTCCAGGCTGACATACTGACAATTCTAGATGTGGTACCCTCCAAAAAAGGGTCTAACAGAGCTTATTCACCCCACGCTTCTGACCGAGGTGCCCAGGGGAACCCCATGCCTGTTCTACAGTTCTCATTGGAGGCAAAAACTGTGTTGATGGCTGGAGGTCAGGCTGAGAAATATCCAAGGAGTCATTTTTGCTTTTAAAGGACATGGAATTTTAACCGTTATCTTTGCAGACCACAGAAATAATACCATGTGGAAGGACCAAGGCAGGGCCAAGGAGGCAGCTTTGGAGATAAGGCCTCTGCCATGGTTATTACATCCATCAGGCGTCCCAGACGCTGGAGAGCAGAAGCAACCCACTGAAGAGCTCAGGGCGTCAGTGGTGAGCCAGGCCACCGAGCGGAACCCAGGCTCCCTCTGGGGACGCACGTGGAGAAAGACAAAGGGTGTGTGCGTGTGCATCCCACCCTCCCTTGCCTGCCGGGCCCCATGGTGCCCTTACTTTGAGTGTGCTGTTCTTGGCACTCAGCTGCTGCTCGAGCTGGGAGATCTGGCTGGCTGAGTTCTCCCGCAGCTTGGTGAGGCTGGCCTGGAGTCTCTGCACGTCCTCCACCAGCTGGGCGATCTCCCGCTCTTTGGCGGCCAACTCAACTTCCAGGCTGGAGCGGGTCAGCACCTCTATGGCCTGCTCCTAGGAAGGAGAAAGGAAATGACAAAACTGCGCCAGCTTTAGGCAGGTGCTCAGGGTTAGGTGTATGGTCAACTGTGGCCAAAACCAGCAGATGGGAGGATGTGATGGTAAGCTCACGGCCAGACTTTATTTCCTGCCTCTGCTTGGACTGGAGCAGCTGACTGACCTCCCTACACCACTGTTCCATCCGCACAGTGAGCTGCCACCACGATCCATCCACTCGACAAGCATTTATGAGTACCAGGCACGCAGTGGGGAACAAGAGGGTAGAAAACCCTTTCTTCACAGGGATGGGTGGGTAGGTGAGATGCACTAATGTGTTTAGTAGTAGCACAAAGTGTGTTGGGTGGTGATAAGTGCCAGAGAAAAGCTGAAGCAAGAAGGGGTCATGGGGTCGGACTTGAGAGGCAAATGGGGTTTTTAATAAGATGGTCAGGAAAAGTCTCATGAGACAGTGATATCTGAGCAGAGATCTGAGGGAGGTGACAGAAAGGGCCCTGCTGGTGGCTGGGGGATGACTGCCTCAGCCAGGCGACTGGTACATGGGAAGGCTCTGGAATGTTCCAAAGCGTTTTGATCTTCTCCTACCAGATGGGATTTAATGTCTTTTTGGCTCATCACTAAACTACCTCTAGGTGTTGTGTTGTTTGACAAATTGATTTTCAGAGTCAGCAATTCAAAAAGAGTTAAAAGATGTGGAAGATGCACGTTGTGGAGTCCCTCTGCTTAGAAATTCATATGCTGATTAATATATATTTTTTAAAGATTGTATGTGTTTATCTTTAGAGGGGAAGGGAAAGAGAGAGGAAGAGAAACACCAATGTGTCATTGCCTTTTGTGCGTCTCCTGCTGGGAACTGGCCTGCAACCCAGAACCGCCATTGTGTGGTTCGCAGGCCCGTGCTCAATCCACTGAGCTACACCAGCCAGGGCCATATGCTGATTAATATTTTTTAAAAACTTATCCCCTTCCCTAATTTATTCATAGTGGAAAATAGGCAAAACAGGGAAAAGGTATAAAAAAAAGAAAAAGTTAAATCTGTAATTCCACTTCCCAAGGATTAAGGTAGCCTTGAAAAAGAAGATTGTATTTATTTATTTTTAGACAGAAGGTAAGGGAAGGAGAAAGAGGGAAAGAAACATCAATGTGTGGTTGCCTCTCGCACGCCCCCAACTGGGGGACCTGGCCCACAACCCAGGCATGTGCCCTGACTGGGAATCAAACCAGCGACCTTCCAGTTTGTGGGACAATGCCCACCCTACTGAGCCATACCTGTCAGGGGTAAAGTAGTACTTTTTTTTCAAGTTCTGAAAGTAGTAATGGCTCCTGAAAGAATTCTAAAAACTTTTCTGCGGGGCAGGTGCACATCTGGGCGTGGCTGACAGGACCTGGAAGATGGAACCGCACAGGGGTCTCTGACAGCAGAGGCCTGGGGTGGCTCGCACTGCAGCGTGGAGGGCCGCCAGCCTGCAGTCACTCTCTTCCCGCCTCGGTCATTCCCACGCCAGTGTGGAAAAATGGGAGCTGCAGCCCCAGGTGGCTGAGGCAGCCGTGCCACTCCACGCACGATGTTCTTGTCACAGGCTTTTTCACCTTTGGGGCCGTCAGTCGCTCAGACAGATCATTTTCCACATCTCCCTCCTAGGACACCAAGGCCTCTACATGCAAAGAAGGGACTCCTTTCTGTTTCCTTGATTTGTGTAATACCGTAAAAGAAGATCTTCATTTGTCCTGCCTTCTGGAAGATCTGCACATGACCCTGCCCTCCCCCACCCCAGCACCTTCGTGCCAGCTTATTTAAAAGGCACGGGCTGTCCAGACCAGTTCAGGTCAGCGTTGGCTCCAAGGATAGGTGCCAGTTCACAACCGTTGCCAGTGCACAGACAAGAACAACTGAGCCCTGGCTGGTGTAGCTCAGTGGATTGAGCGCGGGCCTGCGAACCAAGGGATCAAGGTTCGATTCCTAGTCAGGGCACATGCCTGGGTTGCATGTTGGCCAGTTCCCAGCAGGGGACGCACAAGAAGCAACCACACATTGATATTTCTCTCCCTCTCTCCTTTCCTCTAAAGATAAATAAATAAAATATTAAAAAAAAAAAAGAACAACTGAGAGTAAGAAACTGAGAGAAAGTATTTAGAAACGCTTATGGCAATTCAACAGTGCTGTGACATTTTAACTGTCTTTTATAAAACCATTAGTATATGACAGACTGGAAGTTTAAAAATCAAAACAAGACTGTCCTTTCCCACAGAGAGAATGAGAAGCACCGCCCTAGAAAACACTGGGTGGGGGCCCAAGACACGTCCTCCAGCAGCGCCAGGGGGTTAGCGCCTGAGACAGCAGTGAGAGAAGCAGGTGGAGGTGCCCTCTGAGGAGGGGAGAAGGGCACAGCAGGAAAAGGCTGCTGGGCCTCATCAGAAGGAAGAGGGGCTCCATTTCACAGGTGGGCACAGCGGTGGGAAAGGGCGGGGAGACGGGCTCCTGCCAGAGGAGCCGGCAGGCCCGGGGGAGCGGTGCGGGGACTCAGTGGCAGTGGCACTCAGGGAGGCTGGCCTCACTGTGGGTATAGGAGGAACCGTGTATCTAATTTAACTTATTTATTAAGTTTCCAACCTGAGGGATGCCAGCCATACAAACTCTTTCAAGGGCCCTTAGGGAGAGAGTCTGTAAAACAAGTCAAAAGGCGATCTGGGTTTTTTGTTTTGTTTTGTTAAAGAGTTTATGTACTTATTTTTAGACAGAAGGGAAGAGAAGGAGAAAGAGAGGGAGAGAAACATCAGTGTGTGGTTGCCTCTCACACGGCCCAAACTGGGGACCTGGCCCGCAGCCCTTTGGTTTTGCCAAAGGGCCTCAGTGGAGGCCCCCACTCCACCCACTGAGCTACACCAGCCGGGGCCAATCTGGATATTTAAACAGGCAAGTTCAAATTACTGTATCAGGGACAAGAGGCTCAAATAATACAGGGTGGGGCAAAAGTGGTTTATGGTCCTATGTGAAATAGAGTTTAGTCTTGTATTATTATTTATTAATCATTGCATTATTTTCCATAGAAGAACTGTAACCCTACTTCAGCCCCATCCTGTATATGTAAAAACTGCAGCTCTCAGTGCTGTGGGCCCAGGAGGAGAACCTGGGGGCAGGCAGTCCCAGAGGGCCGCCTGCTCAACTCCTGAGGCCGGCTATGACCTGGCCACACATTGACCAAGGGACCTTGGGCACATCAACTAACTCAGGAAACTGGACCAAAGACTCTTCACTTACAATGTGGCAAAAATCATTCATGTTCTGCATAAACGAAATGAGATGAGGTAGCACACCCCAAGGTTACTAGTAAGGCCTTGGAAATAGAAAAGATCACCCTACTCTAAGCCCAAATGCGGCTTACTCCCCTCTCACACACGAGGGCACCCTCATCCCGTTGTGAAGACACACAGGGAAACTAGGGGAGAAATGAGCAGGGGCCCTGGGAATGACCAACAGGCTGCAGGAGGTGGCGGAGGCCTGTGCCTGGGGGTGACCCGGCCTTCTCTCTAAGGGCACAGCTAGAGAGGAAGTTGTACAATGCGGTGAACAGGTGCTGAGAGGGGCAGCCTTCACGGATGCAGGGCGGTCACTGTCAGGAGGCTCAGATGCTGTTGAGCTAATTACCTGAGAGGTGAAGCAGCCACAGATTTGCAGAGGGCCAGGACAATGAGCTCCCTCTGTCCACCCAGGACTCCACTCAGCTGCACCTGAATTATCTGAGGGCTTTAGAAAACATGTGTGTCCTGGGCCCCACCCTGGAAACCATGGTTCAGGGGGTCAGGACTCCCTGGTGATTCTGAAGGTGTTTGGGGTCAGGGCCCTGGCTCAGCCTATAGCCCCTAAAGAGAGGGGCTGGCTTTTTTTCAAGTGTGAACAAGTGTGAAAGAGGCCCCGTTCCCCTGTGGGCACCAGAACGAGGTCCGGAGTCTCCAGGCTCCAAGGCCTGTAAGGGCGCCCTGCAGTCCTCGGGGGCAGTGGGGTGGGGTGGGGGTGGGGAGCTGGGGCTCTGATGGCTTGGAGCCAGGAGAGGAAACGTGGAAATGCTTTGTTGGGTCTAAAAACATTGTATTAAAAAAAAAAAAAAAGAAGGGCTTACAATGATGATAGTGGTGGGGGTGTTTCCAAGGGGAAAGATGAACTTAAAAACGGAAGTTACTGAGTAGTAATCCATTAAGTTTTGTCCCTGTGAACCCATTCGCCTCCCCTCTCCCCCAACCTGCTTGTGTGAAACATCCTGATTGTGTAACTATCTAGTGAGTCTTCCTACTGAGATCAGAACATCCAGGCTGACATAAGCCAGATAATCACCTCTTTTATCCTGCAGCCATTTTCATATTAAGTATGAATGAGATGCAGGATCGCGACTCTGTGAGGAAAGCCTGATTGTGAAGTGATGGTGCGCCTAGGACCCCAGCCTGCGAGACAGATACATGAAGTCGAGGCTGACCTTAGTTTCATTTACTCCAGCAGGGGAAGGATGAGGGAACGGGAACCTCAGCTTTACTCCTCTCCCGGAGTAATGCTCCCCTCCTAATAGAGGAGTTGCCGCCTCTATTCCTGCCAACTCCTAGTGGCTGAAGGAGGCAGGATCTATGTGGTGTGTGCACTCGACAGATTCACCTGAGAGACAGACAGGTGTGTTTTTCTAATACCACTGTTTATTTAGGTTTAAGAAGGTGGCCTGGTGTGGTACACCAGAGCCCTGAACTAATAATGATTGTTTGTAATACCTGATGAAGGACCTGCATATACCCTGTTCCATTTAACGTACACAGAGGTGGGATGGCTGGATGTGGGGAGAAAGGTGGAGTTTGGAGTAGGACAAACTTAGGACAAAATGCCAGCTTGATAATGTTCTAGCTGTGTGACCTTTGGCAAATTCTTTAATTCCTTTGGGCCTCTCATGTCCCCTCCCTGTACAATGAAGATACTAAACCCTGCCTCTAATGACCATGGTGCCACGAGGCAGAAACGAAGTAACCCCATAAAGCCGCAGCCCAGCCTTAACGCAGAGCAGGCACTCGCTGAGGGGCAGCTGGCCTTCCAAAACCTGCGATTCCCGTAAGACACCCAGCAGATCGGTTTTGGCCTTTGCCAGATCTATGGAGTCTACCATTTCTCTTTCGAGTGCTGCCAGCCAAGCCCAACAGCCATTCTGCTGGCCCAGTTTCATGCACTTGCTCCCTGGCTGCCTGGAGCTGATGGACTGTGGGAACGAACCCCCGAGGGCCGCTGGCAGGGCCGCTCCTGGAACACGGAACCTGTGCCATGTAAACACTGCACTTAGCCGATGATGAAGTGTTTAAGCACCCCTAGGATCCGCAACTTACTCTTCCTGCAAAAACATTCATTTCTGTCTGAAATGTTTTGGTTGCCACAGTCCAGGATGGTGCCAGAAATCCTTTCAATTGAGGCATTTAGCTCAGGAGCCCTGTGTGGACACATGAGGATGGATGACGTTCTCCAGAGGACCAGGATCCACTGCGAAGGCCGGGAGAAGCCGCGCTACTGCCCCTCTGTCTCTAGCGCCTCCTCCTGCCGAGACGCTGGGTCCAGTGCGGGAACCCTGGGAGGAGGGGACGCTGACAGAGCCCGGGGGGCATTTCAGGTAAAATAAAAACCAGAGTGCTTGAAATATGAAGGAGGCAATGGAGAAGACTCTGCCCTATATCCCAAGATACTTAAATCATGTTTTACTTAATGTTAATGTAAAGAAAGAAAACAAAAACATTGTTAAAAGGGGTCCTGGCACCAAAACTTTGCTTTAGATTTGTTCCTGAGGAATAATTTGGATTCAATTCCCACTCTAAGGTGGCAGAGGGCCCCCTAGTCGAGTCCTGGATTGGCCATAGGGACTGAGCAAGTGCTCTGGAGCAAGGGGTTAAAACTCCTGGAGCTCCTGCTTCTTCATCCGCACAAAGGAGTAACAACGCCCGCTTTGTAGGTGAGGTGGAATGACAGCTGCCAAACTGACACATGAACAGACAACAGCAGCGAGCGAGCCTGGTTTGCAAGTGCACTCTCTGGGAAGGGCCTGGTCCCTTCCCCTTGCTCTCCCAGTGTCCACTATGCGCCCTGGCACACAGTAAGAGCTCTGCAACTCTTCTAATGTAACAAACAAACAAACAAACAAACATACATCTATGCGTGCAATTCACTCATCACCATTGGCTGTCACAGCTGAAGGGTTCTTGGGATCATTTACTCCTCATGCTATACACAAGAAAACTGAGGCCTGCAAGTTTCACTGCCCTGATGTGCAAAACAAGCATAAAACAGAACTGAGCTTCCAAACCAGGGCCCCTGGATCAGGGATGATGATGCCAACCACAATAAGAGTAATTGCTAAGGTTTCCTGAGGGCTTACTCTGTGTCAGGTCTTACTCTAAGCACTTTGCTCAGATTTCTGAAACCTTTGTAAAAACCCATTTAACGGATGATGAAACTGAGACTTGGGGAGGTCAAGTGAATTGCCCAAAGTCACAGAGCTGACAACTGCAGAGCAGGGGTCTGAGCCCCAGAGCGTGGCTCCAATATCCAGGTCTTAACTATACGCTGCTCCATGTAACTGCACAACATGGAGGGAAAGAGTGTGGAATCCGATAGTTCTAAGCTGCCTCGGTCAAGCTGGGAAAGTTCCAACTAAGAGCAATTTTAATTAATATAAAAAAAGTCAAGAGGCCAAAGGGCTGGAACATATGGCTCCAGAATACCTACATTTCAGGCAAGACTCTGGCAATAACACGGACTTGGAGGGGAATGTCACCTTATTACCTCTTTGGCCTTCCAAGCTCATTACAAAATTCTTCTCGCTCTGGAAAGACACATTCCAGAGAAGACCATACCCCCAATTTCCCCGTGTAATTTTGGTGAAGCTCCAGTTTCAGATCCCACCCAGCTGCCAGCTGCTACCCCACAGGCCCAGCCAGGAAGACGCTCCCTTTGGTGATGGGACCTGTCTCCACCTCCACACTGGGCGGGTGTTGCGCTGACCACAGAGCATCAACGCATAAGCAGTAAAACTCTCCCTCAGACTCTAGTGAGCTTCATCCCCAAATTGTTAAAAGCATTCCCCACCAGGACAGTAGTACTGCTTAAAATAGTCCAGAAATGGGCGTTAAAAAGCAGAAGAAGAAAACAGCTGCAATACGGAGTTACAGATGTCAGGCAGACAGAGTCCCCGTAGGGCCCAGCTACCCACCACGTCCGGCGCCTTCTGGATCTGCGAGGCCAGCTGGAGAGAGTGGTTAGCTGATGAGAGCTGCTCCCTTAAGGTCTCCGCCTCTCTCTGGGCCACCTCTGCCCTCTGAAGGAAATGAAAAGGGTGAGAAGAGAAAGTACATTCAGTTTAACAACTGACAATTATTACAAGAACATTCATCAATTCATGCCTGACTGACTATAATTGATTTTCCTAAACACTCAACCTAATAAATGCTAGGAAAAAAAACACAGAATGTGATGGATTTTTATTTTAAACAGTACAAGGAAGAAATAATTGAGCGATTATGACAGTAATTTAACGCTAGGAGCAAGGAATCCCCTGCTGATAGTAATGCTCCGGCCCACTGAATTTCCCAGACTGAATAAATACAAGTGGAAATAGAGTCTTTTGATTCAATTTCTTCCTATTCTCATAGACCAAGAAGATTTTATTGCAGGATTACTCCTGGGAGTAATTCTCACGGGTAAACAGTGAATTAAAGACACTGGCTATTTTCTTCCTAAAAACACACACAATATTGTGGTTGTTTTCCTTCTGCAAGTATTTCCATAAATGTACAGGGTGTAAATGCTGCTTCTTTTGTGAGGCCCAAGCTTATTTCAACATATTTAACCCTTCACTCGACAAAGTTTTCTAATGCCGATGCTGGCATTCCAGCCAGCTGGCTGACTTGGGGCCAGAGGCGGGAGGGTGGCCCTGACCCACTGGGAATGGGGAGGAGTGCAGCTGGCTGCAGGAAGGGGTTGCAAAGAGAAACGAGTAGACATTTCTATTATTTGCATGTAATTCCTGGCCAAGCAAACCAATGCCACTGGAGAGCAAATCAGAATTTCCCATTGAATAGTGAGAATAGGTCAGCCTGGTGCCTGCCACCCGAGGGGGCACTGTGGTGCAGTGGGCAGGGTTGGGCATGTGGGACAGAGGGACCAGGGCAAGTTACCTAACTAAGCTACTAAACTCCCACCCTCCCACCTCCAAGTGGGAGCACCACCTCCCTCTCACGGACCTCACAAGGATTAACACCCGAGGAAGTATATTGTACACAGAGCTCATTCAGAAGTGTTTTATTAATGGGCTCATCCTGATTTTACAATTATAATTGAGATGAAAGTCTATGATGGTTAAGAAACAGTAGCTAAATTGACACTGGGCTTGCAGGCTGGGAAGTATCATGCTTATTCTTTCTATCAGACTTACATTCTGCTAATAGACACGATTAACAGGAAAAGCCTGGCTGAGCAGGGCTATTTCATGTGTTTTCGCATTCTGTGGTGTGATGTTATGTGTCTACTGATTGTTAAGAAAGACCGAAAAACAGAACAAGAAGTTAGCCTGCCCCAGTACTTGCTGATCAATCTAGCTGCACAAGAATGGGCCTGGCAGCTTTAAGCAATCATGTGAGGGCAGTGCAAACCTATCTGTTCTGCATACAGACAAATTAGGATATTTCTAAGAGCAGTTACTTCTGCCCAGGGTGGTGCTGGTGGCCGCCTGCCCTGCTTCTGCAGGAGCCCTTGGAATTGCACTCAATCTAATTCACATGGCACCTGGCCAGGCCTGTCTGTGCTCGGCCAGTTGCCTCCCACCCTCTCTCCTCCAAACAGAATCTAGAATAGAAGCACCCGTCAGGAAAGGCGGCAATATGACGGGTGAGGTGAAGCTGGCAGGGGTGATTTCTGGTTCATGCTGACTGCAGGAAAGTCTCCTCTTCAGTGGAAAAGATCCCCTTGCCCCGGGTTATATCCAAATGTGCTGATAAACATGTCATATTACGGAAAAGTTTACTCTTTGCTTTCTAGTTAGCTAAACTCTTGGACATAATGTCTCCATGACTCTGCCAGGAATAAGGTGCATTTTGACATAGTTTTAGTCTCACTGACTAGAAAAAATATTTCTCAGCCTGGTGGAGAAGCTGTTCTAGTCGCAGCCAAGCAGCAGTGTCCCCAACCACCCTGCCCGGAAATACTGGCTTGGAGTGCTCCAGAATCCCAGGGCTCGGGCAGGCCTGGGTGGTGGGTTCACGACTGGGACCTCGGGCAGGCGTTGAGCCGTTCGGAGCAGAGTGCTGTCTCATCAAAGGCCCATGGCTCACAGAAGAAGGAATCTAGCTGTTAATGATTTCACCTTTGGTTTGCTTCACTTCTCTAGAGCTTCTGTACTTTATTCAGTTTCCAAGTTCATGTACAGAGTAGCTCTGTGACCTCCCCATGGTGGTCACAGACTTACATCACATTTGGCTTGACTTGGTTACTCCAGTGCAACTTTTTGATTGTTTCAAATTTATTTTATTTTGGTTTTGTACCCTGAGTTCATTAAAAAAAACCCCAACAAAATAAATTGAGGTGGTTTATGCAGCTAAACATGGACAAAGCTCAACAATTAAAAATAAAACCAGGACGGGAATGGCCGATTCTGTAGTTGTGTGTTTAGCCCCGTGTCTGGCAGCTAAAGCAGGAATCAAGGGCGCTCTGCCGGGCCAGCACTGTGGTGCCACTCGTCTCCAGGGTCTCTCATCTCCCTGATGCCTGCAGGCCAACCAGGTGACACATGCTTGTTTCTGAAACTGGAATCAGTGACAGGAGGAAAACCTGGGTGCGTTTTCTGATTTGGAACCTCAGACATGGAGATGTGGCTGCTATGAGAGACACTGAATCCTGTTTCCGTGGATGGGGCCCCTCCTCCCCTGTCCCTCCAGAGGCAGAGCCTGGGGACCTAAGCCAGGGCTCCCACAGGCAGCTGGCAACAGCCCTGGGTGTGATTTAGCCGCCACCCCTACGATGAGAATAGTGCCTTGCCAAGCCTCGGCTGCTCTCCTGGGAGACTTCTCTCGCTGGCTGTTGCTTACTTTCTTTACTTTTCTGAGAAGAGTAAGTGCTGGAAACACAAGATAAGTAAAGAAGGAGCTAGAGCCCCGAGGTGACCTCATTTCAGTGATTCTGCAGGAAGGAGGTCAAAAGCTCCACCAAGAAATTTACTGCCATGTGTCCCAAACTGGCCCTGCACCGGTGACCAGAGTCCCCATTTGGACCTGCTGCCTGTGTTTCTGGGACGCAGTGCACAGTGGCGTGGATTTCTTTCTCAGGTCTGCCAGGCCAAAAGCTGGAGCCACGGCAGGCCACCCATGGAAACCTTGCTTGTCATGGCCCGAATCATGGTTTCAGGAAAGCCAGGAGAGCCAATTTCCCTGTGTCCTCCTGCCACAAGGGGTGGCCCCAAGGACTCTCTTCAGGCCTTGCTGGCCCACCTGACATGGGCTGGGAGTCCAGTTATTACACAGAGAGACAGTGTTCCCAGGAGGCCCAAGGAGTGACCAGAGACACAGACATGGCTCTCCCATGGGCAAGGAGCCCGAGTGAAACCAGCACCTCCTCAGCACCTAGGAGGTGCCCACAGGGATGGGCTGCATCTCAACAGCGCAAGCAGGTACTCATGAATATTTGCTATGTGGATGTGGGTCTGATGAACGGGGCTGTCTCGGAGGTGGAAGTGATCACCCCAGTCTATGATGGGGAGGCAGGGGCTGGGGGGACTGAGGCTCTGCTCCAGGTCACGTGGATGGGAAGTGGGAGACCTGGAATTCAAACTCAAATGCTCTCCCCCTCAGAACACAGAAGCCTTGGTCAAAGAAAAGGCCATGTTTTGCCCTGAGTTCTTTTTGATCTTTGCATTTCTCTCAAATTTGATTCTGTCTCTTCAGTGAAGTTAAAGTGTGGTTTCCAACATAACCTCAACCTAAAGGGTCTTCTGTTAGGGTAGCCCCCCCTTAAGAGTCAGGCAGGCTGGCGAGGGGAGGCCCACTCCCTGAAAGAACTTCTTCCTGCCCCTGCTGCGGTTTTGGGCCCTGGCAACTCAAATCAGGGCTGCTCTGCAAGGAGGGGCGGGGAAGGCGCAGCCAGAGGAGCTGACCGAGTTACTAGGCCCACAGACAGGTTTCATGTGGTTGTAGAGTGCACAGTTGTGGTTTCTTATTTCCTATGAAGCCTCAAAAGTTCTGAACCTTTATGGTCACCAGTTGAGGCAGTATTAATGTAAATGCCCTGACGTTTACTAAACAGGTGTGAATGAAACCTGGGCCTCACTGACGGTCAGTGGCGCATCACTCTTCCACTTCTCCACAACAGAAGCTCCAGCGCTTTAGCAACAAAATAGAGAGCTTCAGGTCTCGGTAGAACACTGCTGTAAACCTCGTGCAAAAATAATGTTATATGCCAATGAACTAGGAAATTGTTCCTCCTGGGAATTTCCCAATGGGAAAGGCGGCTCAACCAGATGGCGGGCTGGGCCCACGCTGGTGTGCAGCCCCCGGTACCCCTCCCTCTGCCCAGCCCACCTCCACCTCCTCTCCCCCAGGACCACCTCATTTCAGGCCCAAGTCTTCTTGTCCCTGATCTATCAAAACAGCTGCTTACTGCTTCCCTGGCTTCCAGTCTTTCTACTCCCATATATTCTCTAATGTTTAGCCAGAGTGATCCTTCTAAAACTCATCTGGTATCATACTTCCGCCTGTGATTCTCCACTGTTCTCAGGATGAGGTCCTCCACACACCTAGCTGGATCCCTTCCTATGGGTCCACTCTTCCTCTCTGAACCTCCTGGTTCTAGCTCTATGGAATGGTCCAAAACACCCAGAGCTCATTATGCCCCACCTCGCCTGCCTGGAACGTGTCCTCCTGAGCACAAGGGAAGATTTTTTTCCTCATGAGTCATCCTTGTTGACCCACTGAGCCATCTAGTTCAATTTTTAGTTCACTCTGTGTGTGACGCCCGGTCTCATACTCTCAGCAAGGGTCGGTCAGCATCTGCCTGCACAGCTCCCGGAGCTCACTCCCTTTGGTGGCTGCTCTAGGCACCTCTGGACAGACAGAACTGAGCATGAGTGCCCCTTCCACCAGCCTCTGAACTCAGCCATGAAAAGGGCAGACCCCTTCTCCTGAATAGCCCTGAGGAGCTACAAGGGCAGAATTCACCTGCCTCAGCCCTAGGCCTTCCCTTGTGAAATCATTTAACATCCCACGTTCCTGGTGCTTGGTGAGAAGTCCCTCTGTCCTCTTTCCCTGCTCCCCAAAGATTAGGAATATCTCCAAACCCCACTGTCTTTTGTGTTAGGGTCCCTTCCATGTTCTGGCCATGGAGGGGACTTGGAATGAACTCTGGGCACCTGGCTTCTTTTTAGTGTGGTTTCCAGGAGAAATTCTTATTCTCTGGGGATGGACCAATTATTGCAGTTGGTGTAGAATCTCTACCTCCTTCTTTCTAGGAACTGTTTCTATTAATGTAGCCTGAGGTTGCAATAATTTCTTGCGGCAGCCACGTCGGGCTGTTCGTGCCCGCTGGTTGTTAGCAGACCTGTCCCAGGCCTTTCCACACCCCACCGTACTGGGTGGGGGACAGGGCTTTGTGATTCTCCCACCAAATCTTTGCTTCTCTAGAAACTATAGAGTGAATATTTATGGAAACATCCACTTCTTACCCAGGCACCTCACCTTTAATCTTCAAAACTATCTTGCAAAGGAAGTACTAATTGTCATTCCCTCCCTTTCCCTTCTCTCGCTTAAAACTGAATTATGGCAAAATACATATAACATAAAATTCACCATCTTAACCATTTCTAAGCATACAGTTCAGCACGGCTAATCACATTTACATTGCCGGCAACCGGTCTCCACAACCTTGTCATTTTCCCAACCGAAACTCCGTACCCGCTGAACAGCAGCCACCCACCCCGCTCCCCGGGCCCCTGGCACTCAGCGCGCGCTCTCTGCCTGTGAGTGGGACTGCTCTGGGGGCCTCGTGCAAGGGGGATCGCAGTGTTTGTCTTTCTACGACTCGCTTACTCCCCTTAGCACAATGTCCTCAAAATGTCACTTGGAGGTGGCACCTTTCTCTGTGGTCCTGTCTGGTGTCTCGTAGAATAGAGACCCACCCAAGTGGCCTCAGCCCATGAGAGCTGCATCAACTCTGCCCAACTCTGTCAGAACCTGGGGACTGCCAGAGCCGGCATGTGAAGCTCACAGAACAGAGCTATCTGCCTAGCCAATCACTAACCCCAAAGGGCCCTGAAAAGAGGAGGCACTCCCATGACTGGCCCTGGGGTGCGGGGGTGGGGGGGTGGGCGGAGAGGGGTGGAAATTTGAGAAATGCAAATGGCAATCCTGTGACAAAGAAGGTTAACTCCTGCCAGTAACTACGTTTGAGTTAAGGTTTCTGCCAAGTTGAGCAGTGCTAACTGAGTGAAAACAAAGACCCAAAGTAAATTAGCAACTAAAGGTGAATAAACACTTCAGCACCTCTGTGAGGTGAAGCAGAAGCAGTGCTTTTACAGCAGGGGGCTGTGTGGATGAGTGCACCTGGAAACAAGCCGGTCTGAAAGAAAGGCCAAGGTGGTCCTTGTTCCGTGCCTGCTCCCCAGAGAGCCGGTGACAGCACAGGCTCCAGCACTGGCCTTGCGAGGACCAGACATGGACCTTGGTTTCCGCATCTGCACAGTGGGGATCATAAGAGCACTGACCTCAGTGGGCTGCGGTGAGGTTTAAGTGACTCTTCGTGTGAGGTGCTTAGAACAGAGCCAGGCACAAAGTTAGTTACTGGAGAATTGGCAGCTCTTCCTCCTACTGCCAGGATAACTGTTATGTGAAGCTGCTATCTCGGGGCTTCGCTCCATGCCTCTCTCTCCTGGGCCCTTTGCATGGGCCAGGCCCAGGATCCCCAGGGGTGAGTCTGGGTGCGAGACACAGAACCCACAAAGTTCTTCTTAAAGAAAAAAGGAAATCCACACATCTCCTTGGGCCATTCTTATGCATAAACTAATTTTTCACATTCCAATAGACTTGAGGATGATTTTATTGGTCAAAGAACAGATAACTACACTCTCTGCATTTGCCACGGTCTGGGTAGCAATTCCAGTCAAGGGGTGGGCATGCTGTGGAACTTCCCAAAAGTGGGAAGCGGAGACCACATACCCAGGAAGGACTTTGACCCTGTGGGGGGCTGTGCTTGCCTGGGCCCCAGAGGCACTCTGCTAAGCTCTCCTGTGCTTGTGTCTGCCCTAAAACTGAGTGGGGGGGGGGATCACTGGTGGCCTTCTGGGGCTGAGCGGCATCACGGCTTTAGCTGCTTCTCCCTACAGAGAAAATAAATAGGGACACCTCTTTCTTTCCAAAACAGCAGTACCATTTGCTGAAGCAAAATGTTTTCGCATTCTACAGAGTCCTTGGGGAAGGGAGAGGTTCTACGAGGTGGCCAAATTTTTTAGGCAACTGAGTATTTGGAGCCACTCAATATTGTATGCCTACTTCATGTCAGACACTGTGTAGGGTAGTTCCCACAAGGCACTGTGCCAACTAAGTGCCAGCCACGAGGAGGTTGTCGGCTGGAGGCCCTCTCCAGACAAGTGGCTTCAACCCAGTGGAAGGGGAGACAGACTTCTCTACGGCATAACCCACGGGTATGAGCTGCACAGCGTAACAGCTGCCACACCAACAGAGGCAGGTGTTGAGGACATGAATTAAGAAAAAGAACAAGGGGTAGTCGCTTTGCAGTAGACGTTCACCAGGGGATGTCGAGGATGCGAGGGCCACATCCAAGAGTTTGCCTGTGACTTTTCATGTACTTCTCAAGACATCAGGAAAAGTGTCACCATTGATGGCTGTATGTAAAAACATGAGAACTGGCCTTCAAATTTAGAAGCATTTTCCAAGAAGACGAACGACTACGCTATTGCGATTTTATGCCTGAAGCTATCAAACATCCTACCTGGTTTGCTCTTTCAAGGTCCGTCATGATCATTTCGATTTCGTCGGCCCTGGGAGGTGAGAGGAAGAGAGTGCATTAGTTAGTAGTGAGATGGGCTCGGGGGTGCCCATGATCCTGTAGGTACACATTCCAGGCAGAGTCCCCAGTTTGGGGGAGAGGAGCCGTGCATGACCGTGAGGGCCACTGCCATTCGCTGAGCGGAGGTGGGCTTGCCCTGCGGAAGGGCCTACGGAGCACCTGCCCTCGCAGCGCTGCCAGTCTTGTCAGGGACGGAGAACATAAAGAGATAAAATATGGTGTTCTGCCAAGAGACTGAACAGAGCTCTGAACAGAACACTCTGGAAAAACAGGAGGGACAGGTGAATTTTCCTCGGAAGAGCGGATTTGGAAAGGCTTCAGAGGAGGTCACGTGTGAGCTGGGCTCTGAAGGACTAGTAAAAGTTTGCTAGGACCGAGGGAACCGTGAGAAGGCGGAGGGGAGGACGGAAACCCAGGTTGGGGGGCACTGCAGTCTGCTCTGTAAACCACCGAGTTCCCCATCACCATCTTGGCTGCTCGCACACAGGCAGTTTCCGGGTGATTTTATTTTTCATTTTAAAAGCATGTCCTTAAGTAATTTGAAGGCAATAATGTGGTTCCAACATACAGCACATTGTGAGAGAGAGAGAGGGAGAGAGAGAAAAAAAATGCTGAGAATCCTACTGAGAAGAGTGTGGTTAACTTCAAAAGTCTGTGGGAGGTTAGGACTGGACACCCGGGCAACACACTGGCCCCTACTTCTGTTAGCACAGGCCCCAGTGACAGGGCCCCTGTCGGGGAGCCCACACCAAGACCGGCTGCAACCAAGGAAGGTTTCGCACACCCGTGGAGGACGGACTGGAATGTAACAGTCCCAGATCCACAATGGGGCTCAGGGCCCACTCCTGCTGGGGCCTCCTCATACTGCATTCCCTGTGGGCCTGGGTCTCTGCTGGCCACAGGGCTCAGTCCTATCCCTTGGTGCCATGCACTTGGCTTTTCTCCATGAAGTCTCTTGCCACCTCCCCCCTCAGCCCACCACCCAATCCAATGGCCCTGTGCTCGAATAACTCCTACCACTGTGGCCCCTAAACAACCCTGACCTGTGCTATCTGCCTGGATTACCCCCCACTCCTGGGGACCTCATCTCCTACTTCTGCCCCCTCCCAGGCCTTTCCCAAATCCGCCCAGTGGCTCCATCTAAGGGAGCAGTGTAGCCGAGTCCCCTCCCCTCCCTCCTCACATCTGTGTATCTCCTTTGCCCCCATCTCTGGTGCATGCACAGGGCCTGGCATCAGGCTGGAGGCCAGAGTCCTGAACGCAGCCTGTCCTGCCAGTGGGGGGTCAGTCTACTTCCTGGGACAGCCTGAGGCACCTGGACTTTTGTCCCCCAAACCTGCTTCTCTGGTACTACCCTTGATACCAAGAGTTATACAACTGTATTCAGGCTCTGGCTGGCTGTTTTTTGCCGTCTCCTGCACCTAAGGCTTTTCCAGCCTTAACCGCACAGTGCGATTGGAAGCAATCTTATCAACTCCCAGCAGCCCAAATGGGGTAACAGATGCCTTGTGATCAGGTTCGAGGCTCACTGTATCTGTTTGAAATAGTATCCTGCTTTCAGACTGGACTGAGACAAGTCTGAAACAACTCAGAAAACGGCCCAGTTAAATGAAGTTATTTTTAGGATGACTTCCTGAAGAAGGCAGTGTCTCTGGAAGACACACACCCCAGCGGGGCCTCTGCAGTGCAATGCTGGGTGCAAGGGGGGGCGCGGGCCGCTTAAATTACTAAACATCTCACCGCATCATCTGAAACGGAAACCTCCAAGATCTCAGAAAAAAATGCTGAACAAAGAAAAGACAGTCTAATGACGACAGAGGATAAAAAAAATCATAAAAGGCATTACAGGTCTGAAACACGAAACAGGAAAGGAGCTTGATGGAAAGTCCATACAGAAAGCTGCTATCCTGACAAGCTGCTGGTGCAGCCCAACCTTCACTGGTTACAAGGTGAAATAAAAAGTGAACAAACTTTTACTATGGGCAAATCACAGTTCTGAACTTTAATCAAACAGTTATACCTATATATTTACAAACCCTAGACATATACACGGCAAACTTCCCCCCTGCTGGCATCAATCTTTCATTCGCTCTCATCCCATGAATGTTTCTAACACCCCTGAGTTCCTGGCCTTGGGTGGGGGCTATGGGACGGGCACACAGAGGTGACTCCTGCAGACCTTGCCAGTACTGCATACTCACAAGAGAAGGATGAAAACGCTCAGCTGCTGAGCTCTCAGGACAAAGTGAAGAAGAAAGGCACATGGCAGGTGTTATATGTATTTTGCTGAATGAAGGAAGGAAGAGGAGGGAGGAGCATGACCCCAGGTCCCAGAGGAATCAGTGATCACTCCCCTCCACCAGGAAGATCCTCTGGCCAGAGCTTCATCTTTAATTCTCTGGAGTCCCCATCCTGTGGGTTGAGAGATCAGGGGTAGAGGTGTGGCTGCCTGCGGGGGGTGGGGCACCGGCCCACCCTCGCCTGTTTTTATTCACTCTTCAAACCTTGCCTGGCTCTGCCACTGGCTAAAGGGCCAGTACAGGGTCAGACACAAGCCAAGGCTGGAGAAGAGAGGAGCACTCAGGGGCACGGTTTCACCGAGAAGCTGGTTCGGCAAGGCTGGGACCCATGGGGGCTAGGAAGTGGTGTACAGACTCTGCCAGATTTAGGGGATCTGGGTGGGCTTGGGGCCTCCCTAGACAGTTGATGGTTTTGGGTGCTCAGTAATATGCCTAATATCCAGTAAATATAGCATTTCCAAAAGGTTTCAAGTCACTTATAATGAATCAGTTACAATTAAACAGGAAGATGCCTTCGCAGCAGTCTGAGGCAACCCCTGGAAATAAATTTCAAGTTTTTCCATCTTGCGGTTGGTTTAACTTTAGTCACTAAGCAACCACTAAACTGACCAAAATATTGAATGTGATAACAACTACTGTGCTTACCTTTCATTACGAGAGCAACTCTCATATTTCCAAAGCTTTCAAAGCTACAGTCAACACTGAGCTCTGCTGTCCAAAAGCAGGGCTGCTCAACACCAGGCGTCCCGATGCCAGCGGGGCCCAGCGAGGCCCAGAGGGGCTGTGGCGCCCCTTCACCCAACGGGCCAGAAACCAGAGAAGGAGACAAGGGAAGGAACCAGGGAGCAGTGGGCAAGGAAACATTCAAATTATTATTTTGAAAGTCTGTTGGCTGGTGATTGTTTTCAAGGAGCATGCTTTTTGAAAGATCAAAAATACATCTGGCAAGGCATTTAAATGAGATTGGGGCTTTTGAAGATGTGAAGTGTACCACTGGCACCTATAGACCAGGACCAAAATGGCGGGGTCTTCGACCACCTGTGCTGGTCTCAACTTAGAACACACGCCTGTTCAACCCACTCCTCCCCAAACCTCTGCCCCCGCCCTCCCAGCAAGATCAGTCCTCCCAGATAAACTACCCTACAGAAATGCCCAGAGGTTAACACTACAACTACACACGTTATCTGAAAAGTGCAGTAATGAATTAAAATGCCATGTGCTCTCATGGCAGCATGTCAACAACATTCCGAAGGTGTTTCATTCTTTTCATCTTGAAGGCTCAACTATCCCATCGGAATCTGGAGCCTGACATTAGTCTAAAATCACTTATTTCCCAAGTTCTGAATAACCACACATACTGTTTACTCAGCAAAACTATTTATTTTAAAATTTTAGTCCTCTCACTTTTTCATGAGCTGGCAAAACAGCTTTCCCTGATCTATTAACCTGCACAGCATTATGCTCCACTCCAACTTCAAAGGGCAAAAAACTTCAGCCTGGCCTAGAATGCTTGGTTCATTCAATCAGTTCCCTACAGATCATTTCAGGGTATTCTCTGCACTAGCACACAATTTTTATAAGGAACTTAAAAGGACGTGGTCAAGGTTGATGGAAGGGAAATTACATCCACACTAGAAACTCTGTATTTACTTTCACACTAGCCCCCTGAGTGCTAAGGGAATGCACCAGGGCAAGGCTGGCGCATATTTCAATACCCAAACACTCACACTGCCACCAGGAGCCACAAGACAAAGTGCATCTACTAGCAGTTAAAGAAGTGTCCTGGCCGCCTTCAAAGATCAGTGAGTCGTCTTGGATCCAAGTCAAAAGCCAAGTCTCAATACTAGGTTGTAAAGTTCTTGAGCATCAAAAGAGAAAATACCTGAAGATTAATTCTCTCTGATTTAAAAATCTTAAAAACAAAAGCTTCAGTAGATATGTGTAATAAAGTGAAATCTAGTCCCTCCACCTGGAGGCTGTTTCGTGGCCTCATTTGCCAGGAAGGCGGATCGCTTTCCTGACAGCTTACACATCAGACCAGGCTCGCTTAGCACAAGGAGGCAGAGGAGACACTGAAGCAGGGTTCACTGGACCAGCATCAGAAAGAGCAGGAAGGAAAAGGACGTGGCCAGAGGGTCGGGTGCTGAGGAAGCTTTCTTGGCTATAGGTCTAGAATCCCCTTAATGGGGGTGGGGGATCCTCAGGAAAGGCATTTCTCTCTGCCCCCGCATGGGTACAGAGGTGAGGAGCTGGGCACAATGCAGAAGTGTGGTCTCTGCATGGAAAGGCTGGTTTGCAGTCCCACGTGACAGCCAAGCAGGACTGTACCCAGAGAAAGTGGTGCTGTGCCCTCCTCCTGCACAGGCACCGACCTGCCCTGACGGGGCTGGGTCACAGACTGGGAAGGGGGTGGGGGGACAATCTCTGCTCAACGCCTTCTGAGCGCCTACTATGTGCCCCAGCTGATGGGAAACAAAGGCCCCAGGTAGAGTCAGCAATGCTTAGCAGCGGTGGCATTTGCCTTATCAGTTACTGCCTTCTCAGTGCTGGGCACAGGGAGGTGAAGAGACCCGAGTAAGTTCAGTACAGTGGCAGCCCAGAATGAGGGACAAACAGCTTTGCAAACATGCGGGGCAAGGTCTCACCAAGGAGAGAATGGGGTCTGTATCCT